GTGTGTAGGTAGTGGAGGTATTAGGGACGCTATAGGATAGATGTAGTAGTAGGTCAATTACCATGTTGTGGTATATGAGGTGTATAGGTGTATATGATTATAAATCATTTAGGTGTAGTATTATAGAGGGCAAGTAGGGGTAGTAGTGGTTAGTAGTGCAGTGTAGTACCAGTTGAAGTGTATTGTGAAGTAGGCCAGAAGTAGTCATCGAAGTAGTCTAAGCATGTGTAAGCATAGTGATCGCGCAGTCGCAGCGCAGCAGTACAGTAGCAGTAGCAGTAGCAGCGTCATGGAGGCGGAGGAGTAGTATAGTAGCAGTAGTAGTAGTAGTAGCATTAGTAGGCACAGCGCAGAGTATAGCTGAAAAGTAGTGTGTAAAAAAAGTATAGTAGAAAAAAGTAGTAGTAGCTTGGTAGTACGGTATAGTTAAAAGTATTCCCTAATAAAGTAGTAGTAGTAGTAGTGTCTATGTAGTAGTCTATTAGAGTGGTATTAGAGTAGTGGTCCGGCGTAGTCGTAGCGTAGTAGTAGAGTAGATCAGGGACAAGTAGAGCCAGTGGTGACCAGTGTGTAGTTGTACCCCAATAGTAGTGGTAGTAGGTGTTGGTAGGGTAGTAGTACAGTAGTAGTAGTGCGGTGTGGGTTCGTGTAGTAGTAGTGTAGTGGTGGTGGTGGTGGTGGTGAAGTAGAGAGTAGTATAGTTTAGCGCGCTCGTCGTAGTTTCAATTAAGTAGTAGCCTGGGCTTAGGACTTGTAGTCGCAATCGGTAGTAGTATCGGCTGTCGTATAGCGTAGTATCTATGCACTAGTATCACAGTAGTATCGTCGTTGTTTCGTCGTCGTTTATCGTCGTATTAGTAGCATATAGTAAGGTATATGAAGGTTGTTGAGTAGAGTACAAGCAGCAGTAGTGGGGTAACCAAGGGTAAGTAGGAGTAAAGAAGTCATAAAGTAGCAGTACAGTAGGCACACAGTGTACTGTATGGAACTGTATGGTGGTTTATAAAGTTTAGAAAGTAAGAGAGTAGTAGGAGGAGGACAGTAGTTTACAGTAGTATGTCAAGGTTGGAGGGCTGGTGGAAGGGAGCTGGTAAAAGGAGCTAAAGTGGATCGGAGCTGGAATGCATGGCAACAAATTTTTCCCTTCAAATACATCGCATTAAGCTCCCTATCGTATGGTCCAAAAATCACACATTTTTGAAAAACGGCGGCCAAACCTGGCTTTGGGGACACCCAAAAATCTTTAGCCATAGCGACTTGGAAAACAAAAACACAATGGGCATTCATCATATCGAACAACTTCCCTGAAACTTCACCAAGCATCCGCTTTTCACCACGGGCGTAAAAGCCGCACCATTCGGACTGCTTCCAGCAAGGAGCGCCGGCACTGTCGACATCATCGGACAGGTCAAGCCTTCGCTACAATCAATGCAATTAGCGGCAAGCCGATCTGGAGAATTGAGATCGGAGACATCGATGGAGCCAGCCTGGCAACCACATCCTCAGGACCCCCAGGTTCGGTGTGACACCGCGATCCAACAACGGCACGGCCCCAGTTCCGTGATCTTGAAGTTTCAGCTCCATGCTTTGGCTATGTTTGGCTTGAGATTTTGGGATATTTTGGGTGACCTGGCAGACCTGGGGTCCACAACCGGAAAGCCAACAACTCGTGATAGAAATGCAAAGCGATCCCATGATGTCCCGATTCCGAGCATGACAAGTCAGATTTATTTGGCTGGATTCTTGAAAGATTCAAGAACCTGAGCCTGAAGCCTGAAGGAACTTTCGTGAAATCGCTGAAACTTTGAGCAGCAAAAACACGATGACTCGATGACAGGGACATGAGAAAATCGACAGAAATCATCGCCCAAACCTGTCCTGAGATTGATTTCATGCCCAAAATCATCGTAGTGGTGCCTGGCGGGCACATCTTGCACTGAAGAGCTCCCTTCTCATCCTGGTATTCGCCTGGACGGCTGAAGATACCAGAAAAATCATGAATTCTTGCCTGGTGGGCATCTGATTGGTACTTGTAGGACATTGTAGCACTTTGTCTACATCACAGAACCGGAATTCATATCCAATTTCAGTGGATATTGTGCAAGGTGCTCTATATTCTTGTGAAATCGCTAATGGTGACTACTGGCATCTCTTTTTGCTTTGATTTCACTCGCGATGTTTGTCAAAATGTTCCGTGGGCGTCACAGTACTCTACCCATCTCTACCCTGCGAGACGGGGCTCTACGTCTGCTTCCGTGACAAGCCACAAACTCTACTTGAGAGCGTACCAACACCAGTGTTCAATGATGGTAATAGTCATAGATGCCCATTGATAGTTGCAGATGTTGGCTGATAAGTGTAGGTAGTGGATCATCGTTGAAGATACTACAAGGATTGTACAAAGGTTGTAGGTGGTTGAAAGCTGTAAGTAGCGGTTGATCAGTTGCAAGGACTGGTTGATATATACTTAATAGATACTGGGTGGTGGTTGAGAGTTGCGTACCAGTCGATAGTTGCAGGTACTAGTGATAGCTGTGGAGATGTTTTGCAGATACTAGTTGATAGCTGCAATTAGTGGTCTATAGTTGTCAGTAGTGGTTAACAGTTGTAGATACTAGTTCATAGTTGCAGGTACTAGGCTGTGGTACCCTGTGATTGCGCGCACTATCATCGCGATCTAGTTAAAGTACAAAGTGGTCTGTGTTTCGAGAAATACCCACCTGCAGCACATGGTGCGCACTCCTCGGTAGATTGGTCTGCTTTCGCTGTGCCCGCAGGACAAGCATCACAATCCATTGCACCGGCTCCAAGCTGCTGTTGGCCCGCAGGACAAGCTTCACAAATGTACGTGCTGCCATCGTCATCCATAAAGGCCTGCAATGACTCACACGGGACTCCGAAGAACTCAGAATTCACGGAGATCTTTGATTTCTCCACCCCGTGGGTTTCAATCTTTTTGAGTTAGACCAAACCGAAGGCACATTGATAGCAGTTACATATAGCGGACATGGACACCCTCAAATTGTAGAACTCCCAGAATACCTCGTATCACAAGATCCACATGGATGCTTCTACCATTGCTACGATATTTTCTGGTTTGACCACACAACCACTACAAGATTCCCAAGTCAGTCAGCCCATGTCAGCCCTACTCAGTCAGTTCAAAATGAACCGTCGAACAGACCCAGGAAAAAAATTGTCGATCGCCCCAACTCTGCTGGTATTACTTCCGACTCCTGTGTCACCACAGCTTTTCCCATGTAACGTGCCGTTTTTTTCGACTTTTTCGGAGTCTCTGTCATAGGTCTCCTGGCCCAAAATGCTCCCTCCCCCCAGTGCCTTCGAGAACATCCCTGGAAGGCAAGCCCTACACGTCGTGGCGGTTGCTCGCTCGGCAGTGAAAGTGTCCGTGGCATCGTCGTAAAGCCCAAAGCCGGGGTTGCACTTCGTGGCTTTCGGGATCCACGAGTTCCACCGATCTGTGTTGCCTTTCAACCAATCACAGGCAGCCTGCTCCCTGGTCACTGAGTTGGATTTCATGTTGAGCATCATGCTGTCGACTGCCTCCAAGTCAAACAAACTGGCTTCCAAGAGCTTCATTATATCAGGTGCCATGGCTTGCAAGTCTTTGGTTGCGATTTTGGCCACAGGAATAGCTGAAGCTGCTGAGGTGTAGTCAGACTGAGACCAAGCATATGCGTTGAAGGGAGGAAGGACGAGCTTGGATGGCTGCATTTCAAGAAAAGCACTATCCGGAGTCCACCAATAGAACATGGTCTTGTACTTCTTGGGCACTTCCAAGAATTTGCTCCATGTAGCAGCCACTCCAAGCGCGAGTGGCATATTGTAGGCTGCAGCCTGCTGAGTCGTGGTCAGCACATCCCAGCCACCACCGCCGGTGATAAACGGAACACACTTGGTCAGATCACTTCTACAGGCACTGGACAGCCAAAAGTAGCCGTCCTGGACAGCTGTTCTTCGAACATGGTGGCTTTTATGGTAATCAAATCTCACCGCTTGCGATGACTCTAAACGCATTCCAACAAGTTTCTCATCCCAGGAATGCTCCCACCCCAGTCCTGACAAACATATTTGTATGTCTTGACTCCTTCTCCGTCCGTGGTGATGTCCACTCCGCCAGCATCTCCACTTTTTGCAAAGTAGTGGTAGGCGCTGGAGTTGTCTGTCAACAAGCTATCGCTGCATTTCATAAGGTCTGATGTGTTGACCTGGCAGCCAGGCATGACTTGGATGGGCTGTCTGTTCATGTCGTGTGTGACGCGGACGGGGCAACATGAGCTTTGAGTACGTGAAAAATAGTAAAGACCGACTCTCAGTGACTCAAGAAATGCAGATCAAGGCATGATCATTCGGAAGCTGTTTGATTCCAATCATCCCAACATGCCCGACTACATCCGACTACTGCGACAGCCCAAGAATGGCGGAAGCCCAATAATTAACCACCTCGTTTTGAATGGTGGACAGAAGCTATTTATGATTATTTATCATTATTTATTTATTTGTGGTAGGGATAAACTTTAGCACATTGGCTGTACATGGCTGTACCGTAGTGGCAAGTTGCAGTGGCCACATTTGTGAAGTACTGCGACGGGGTGAACCACGAGGCGTCCCAGTTTGCATAGTACTCCAATGCCAGGCCCGAGGCATTTCTGGCTTCGTTGACGGCAGCGGCTGGGAGGTATCCGCCCGTCTCGCCTGGATATCCCATATCGCCCGCGTTGATGGGCATCTCTTCCTTGGTGGTTGCTTTTTTTTCAGCATTTTTAGCCTCACTTTAGGTTTTGCTAAGACCAGTTGGCCAGTTGGATGGTCTGTTTTTTTTTCCTTATCTTTGTTTATTTTGTTTCCCCCAGAGTTCTAAAGTTCCATGTTGGCTCAGCCAAGATGCCATGTAGATCTCTGCCAAGCTGTTGATGACGTGGCTGAAGCTACGATACCAACTGTCGATCATCATATGATGTTTTGCCTTCCTGGTCTCACATCCACGACTGGTGGAATTCCACCAGGTTGCGCAGCCCAGCATGGAATAGACGGAATCCAAACTCGAAGCAGGTACTCGTGGTTCAAGAGCAATGACGTATCCCAGAATCTCGGAGATCAAAATCTCGATCACTGAACTCGTCACTTGGGCAGAGCTCCATCCTGCCAACAAGAAAGTCACTGGGACCGACTCTCCCTCCATGTTTGTCAGGTTCTTGCGCAGTTCCTCCTTTATGGCATCCTCGAAGCACGTGCCATTCGGCAAGCCGTTCTCCTGCCCGGCACTCGGCCCGAGTGCCAAGGCAAACAGCACTGTGAGGCCAACCCTTGGGGAAAATGTGTTCATTCTGCACGAATGAGGTTGATCACCGCCCGTGACCGATTGACTGGCAAAGAATGCGGCAAATGCACTTGTTGCACCAACATGCAACTTGAGCCCAGATGCCGCATGTATATCTGCATGTGCAAAATCTTAGCTGACAGGAGACAGCTACTGCACGACATGCAATGCAATGCACCGAAGACGCTCACGCCTGGCCTCGCAAAGGTGATTTTTTTTTGAAATCTCGTTTTTGACAGGGTCCAAAATTGAGAGAAATGTTGTTTCGGGTTCTTCGCAGTAGCATTTCCATCCTGCTTGTTAGATCAGCCAATTTGATCAGCCAAGGGAAAAAGGACACCGAAGCACTTCATGGATCCTTCGCATGCTGAGCCAGGCACTGCTCCGCTCTTTAATGACAAAGTGAGGCCTTGGAATGGCAATGTGAAATGGCTGGTGTGGAAGAAACACTCCCACGCACATTGAATTATGAAACTCGGCGATGGGCCAAGCTGGCCTACTCCTGCTACATCATGCTACATTCGGTATAAGAAAGAATCAAAAGCCTGTTATCATCACTCGTTTCTGCAAGAATCACAAAGACAATCAATGGCAACATGTTTCGATGCTTAACAAACAGGTCACATGGGACGTGGAAGCTGCTTGAGTTCCTCTGGCCTACCTCCTGAGCTGCTGGCACTTGCGCAGCAGCTTCAAACAATCAAAACGTAGGCTGTTCTACAGCCTTTACCAACCCTAAACCTTCCCTCAACTCTGTTTCAAAGGTCGACAAATCTCAAAACTTCGCTGCCCTGCTACCAGATCCAACTGGGCCAGGACTAAGGTATTCCCTTGCTTTAGCACGAGTTATATAGGCAAGCCGAAAGCAGTCGGCTTGCAAACTAGCCATGGATCCCAACCTATTCCATCTGCAGGATTCTGCAGGTATGTGTTCAAACATATCTGGCATGTTCCACGATGTTCCATGTTTGAATTTGGAGTAGACAGGAACGTTTGCCATCCATAGTCCTTCTCTGCACTAAGTCTTCCCAGGATAATCCATGCTGCAGCATCCCCTTCCCTCGGAAAACAAGTCTGCGGGAACTGTTGCCCCAGCGATTTGGGTATGTGAGCCGATTCTGCAGCACTGGCCCTAGCCAAACGTCATGATGCACCCGATCTCAAGAGGCCCTTGCCCACTGAGCAACCAACCCTGCTCAGGACACCTGGTGCATTCATAGGAACATAGTCGATCTATGATTCTATGACCCAAACAACAAGGTCAAATCCAAGTATGCCCAAAACATCCCAAAACTATTTCATATGGCAGGCACGTTTGGTGCATTTTTTCAACTAAGCAACACAATGTCCGTGATTCACGTGTTCTTGTGCATCTTTTGCCTTGGAGCGCTTGTCAGAGAGCCTGCTGTCCTGCGGCAAGAGATGCTTCGAGCAGCACGGATAGTAGAGACAAGTGCCCGGAGAAGCTGAAGCTAAATCTATCAACACTCCAGCAACAATCTGAAACAATTATTGACGTGGTGCAATTTGCACGTCCTGAGAGTTCTGGCGCCTGGCGTCAAGGGCGAAATGTCTTGGGCTATGCTGGCTATGTGCTTCGTGTTAGGCGTGTTTGGTTTACGGAGTCTGTCCATCGCTGAAGTATGGCAAAGCTCGTCACTGGGCGCGCTTTCTTCGCCATCTGAGACTTTCTACCACACAGGCACTGTACAAGTCCCAAGTCGATGGTCGCGGGCGTCCGACTCACTGTCCAAGTGCCTGCACAGCTTGCCATCAACTGAGCAACGGTTGCGGGGAGGGGGATCTTTCAAACATCTCAAGAACCCCGAAGTTTCTGGTGTCACAGTTTCCCCCAAGGATAAACCCTGGATTCGCTCACAAAAATGTTTCGCCAGTGATGCAGTAGCCAAAGACCCTCGGCCTTCGAGGCTTGGCTGTAACCATCCTTCAGCGTGTTGTAGAAGGATGACAGGGTTGGGCCTTTTCAGCACTCATCCAGGCAACAAACTTGCAATTCTCCAAACAAAACTTGCAAACATGCAGCTTGAACTGTAATTATTAAGCTGGAGTTCTGACAATGTTTGTGTTTCAACAGATATTCACACCTTTCAATACCTTTCACACAAACGTCCGCCCCAAGGAATCCCAAGGAAGATCAAGTCAACTATATCAACTGGGTTCCATTAAGCTCCCAACCTGCGAGCTTGGACAATCGAGAACCCGCTGACACGAGGTTCCTCCCATGCTTGTCGGTCCCTGCCTGGACAACGGCACTTGGCACATCCAGTGGCACCACCAGGAAGCTGAGGCAGGGGCCCATGTCACGAAGACCTTGAGATTGCATGCAGCCGGTGTGCCTCACCACGGCTTGGCTTTGCTCTGAAGGACTTTGCAGTTACACGTTGTAACAAACGCTTCCACTCAGTTTTTGCTGATCTCAGTGACCCAGAGTTTCGAGTGTTTCCAAGTTTCCAAAACTGCCTATGCAAAAGTCAGCGCTCTCTCCACAGGTACCTGCAGAGTCAGGTTCTATCTCAAGCGAATCAAGTTGAAGTGGCAAGCTCTCCCAGCCGTTCCCAGCCTTTGCTAAAGAATTGAGAGCCCTCGGTGAAGTTCTCCTCAGACAAACCTGTGGATGAAGCGCAGCCATTGGACAACATCGGCATTCCACTTGCATCAATGAATGTCAATGAATCAATGCACTTCCGGACGGTTTCTCTTTTATAGTCTTATCATGTCTTATTTAGTCTTGCTAATCTTGCTATTCCATGGGTATTTCGGTGTTCTCTGATCATCTCTGATCATCTCTGATCATCTCTGATTGAGCGAACTGAGCTTGCGACTCTGGCTGCTCTTCAAACATTTGCTGGGTGAACAGCCGCTGCAGCTGTTGTCCCAGGCGAATGAGGACACCCGACCCTCGCGAAGGTTCACCACCAAATTGCTGAGCCTCGGGTTCGCTTAGGGCTGTGGGGAATCTTGGACAAGTAGGGCCTAAAACGCCAAAAAAAACTCTGGAAGGATCCAGGATCCCCATGTCTGAACCATCGAAACTAAGCGGAATGACTAAAATTTGACCATTGTCATGGCTGAGATCACTCAACACAGCTCGTATGAAGACTCCGAGGCTGGTACTGAGTTACCGCTGTTGCATGGGCATAGATTTGAGGACAACTGACGTCATGACCTCTGTCGGCAACTCAAACGTATATCAAACGTTTGACAATTTTCAACAGTTTTCGTCCCCAACAGTACCTCTTTAAAAGTGGCAAAATAACATATTCACATGTTCATCATGCAAATGGTCTATGCTCATGTTGATGGTGTGTAGGTGTGCATTTCTCATTTAACATCCCCCAACATGGATCAAAATGGTTTTTGTCTGAACATTGGGTACCTCAAAATCCCATGGTGTATCGTATTTCTTTCCCCAAAATGATACATGTCTATAACATGGCTATAACTGGGCATGCATGGTTATTTTCTGGGAGTATCCCAGGGGAGTATCCTACATTTTCAGAGAGCCCTTAAATCACCCAATCACGACGTAGCGATCCAACCAGATGTCACACCTCTCAGCTCCATGTCTGTGGCGTTTCTGCAGTCCAAGGCTTCAGAGGAGCCGGTGTGTGAGGTGGCGACCCACCTCAAAGGGGAGCGCCGTTTTGGCCTTTTTAAGGAGGAGTAACTTAGAAATATCTTAGAAATATCATCGAAGTCAAACTTCCGACAATATGGGCAGATGAAAAGCAGAGATGGGAAGAGTCAGAGAAGAGAAGAGAAGAGGAAGAGGAAGAGGAAGAGGAAGAGGAAGAGGAAGGGGAAGGGGAAGGGGAAGGGGAAGGGGAAGGGGAAGAGAAGAGAAGAGAAGAGAAGAGAAGAAGAAAGAAGATCAGAAACACGAGAAAGAGTGAGAAGAAAGAAGATCCAGGCGCGCGAAGAGGTAGGAAAGTCGCGAAACACTGTGTTTTTCCAATGATTTGTGGCTCCGGAGGGTCGAAAAGTAGGCTCACTAAAGCGGCGAAACCGGAATCAGCTGGCCAGGTGAGAGATGAAAAATTGCACGCGGTTGTGGCGAGAAGTGCAATTCCAAGTCAAAAGTGTAAAAAACTGACGGGTTCAGAACGCTTTAGGACGTTGAGATGCCGAAAAAGTGTACGCCGTTGTGGCGCGAAGCGCATTTCCAAGTCAAATGTGCAAAGCACCTCAGCCTTGGAGCACTTTTGGAAGTTGAGATGTCGAAATAAAGTGCACGCCGTTGTGGTGCGAAGCACATTTCCAAGTCAAAATGTACAAAGCACACCATGCTCGGACCACTTTTGAAAGTTGAGATGTCAAAAAAGTGCACGCCGTTGGGGCGCGAAGCACATTTCGAAGTCAAAAGTGCAAAAGACTGGGGGGTACGGAGCACGTTTGGATGTTCAGATGTCGTTTCGCGTGGCAGGCGCAAGGGATTGTGCACCTTGTCAAAAGTGAGCAAAACGTGAGGGTGTTGGAGCATTGGGACATTTGAAGAAGATCTGCAAAGATGCATTTTCCGTGGCAAGCGCAATACAAGAGACATGTTCATCAGAGATGTCAGGATGAGGGCCCTGATTTCCTGAGAAGGGTTGCATTTTGGAGTATCAGATCTGTAGGTTTGCTAAGATGATTTTGCGTGACAGGTGCAGCACTTCGCATGACCTGGCATCAATTTTTCGTGGCAGGCGCAGTACTTTAGTCATGTGGAGTGGAAAAATCGCAAAACACACTGGTACGAGGCCGTCAGCTCTGCACTCAACTTTCCATTTTTGAAGGACGTCTCGCAGAATTGCTTCGTTTTTGATGTTGTCAAGTTCAAAAATTGAGGAAGTCTCGCAGAATTGCTCTGTTTTGGACGTTGTCAAGTTCAAAATTTGAGGAAGTCTCGCAAAATAGCTGCGTTTTCAAGCTTGCAGATAGACAGACAGATAGACAGATAGACCGATAGACAGATAGACAGATAGGCAGATAGAGAGAGAGAGAGAGATAGAGATAGATAGATAGATAGATAGACAGACAGACAGACAGAGAGATAGATAGATAGACAACTACAACTGCAACTACAACAGCAACTACAACAACCACTACCACTACCACTACCACTACCACTACCACTACTAATTACTACTACTACTACTACTACTACCACTACTAATTACTACTACTACTACTACCACTACTAATGCTACTACTACTACTACTACTACTACTATCTACTACTACTATCTACTACTACTACTATATACTACTACTATATACTACTACTATATACTACTACTATATACTACTACTATATACTACTACTATATACTACTACTATATACTACTACTATATACTACTACTATATACTACTACTACTATACTACTACTACTATACTACTACTATATACTAGCTACTACTATATACTACTACTATATACTACTACTATATACTACTACTATATACTACTACTATATACTACTACTATATACTACTACTATATACTACTACTATATACTACTACTATATACTACTACTATATACTACTACTATATACTACTACTATATACTACTACTATATACTACTACTATATACTACTACTATATACTACTACTATATACTACTACTATATACTACTACTATATACTACTACTATATACTACTACTATATACTACTACTACTACTATATACTATACTACTACTATATACTACTACTATATACTACTACTATATACTACTACTATATACTACTACTATATACTACTACTATATACTACTACTATATACTACTACTATATACTACTACTATATACTACTACTATATACTACTACTACTACTACTACTACTACTATACTACTACTATACTATACTACTACTACTACTACTACTATATACTTACTACTACTACTACTACTATATACTACTACTATATACTACTACTACTACTACTACTACTACTACTACTACTACTTACTACTACTACGATATACTACTACTATATACTACTACTATATAACTACTACTACTATACTACCCTACTATTACTCCTACTATATACTCCTACTATATACTACTACTATATACTACTACTATATACTACTACTATATACTACTACTACTACTACTACTATATACTTCTACTACTACTACTACTATATACTTCTACTACTACTACTACTACTACTTCTACTACTACTACTACTACTTCTACTACTACTACTACTATATACTTCTACTACTACTACTACTATATACTTCTACTACTACTACTACTTCTACTACTACTACTACTATATACTTCTACTACTACTACTACTTCTACTACTACTACTACTACAACTACAGCTACAAATAAACTAATTACGCTACATTACGCTATACTAATTACACTATACTACACTACACTACACTACACTACACTAATTACATCTATAAAATTACACCACACTACGCTAATTACACAGCAACAACAGCAACTACTCCTGCCACAGCTACAACAACAATATCAACTACACCATATTACACTACACTGCACTTATTACACTGGAGCACACTACAACTACAAATACAAATGCAACTACAACTACACTACGTTGCACAATACAACACAACACTACACTAGACTACACTAGCCTAAACTACACTATACTAGCCTACACTACACTACATTACACCACACCACACTACACTACATTACACTAATTACACTACATTACGCTACAACTACAAGTGCAACTGCAGTTGTAACTACCACTACATTGCACTACACGACACTACACCAATTACACTACAGCACACTACAACTACAACTACACTACCTTACACTAAAATCGACTATATACACTACACTATGCCACACTACAGTACACAACACTACAGTGCACTACAATACAGTAGACTACAATGCACTACGCTAACTACACCACACCGCAACTACAACTACAACTGCATCTGCAACTACACTACACTTATTACACAGTACAACTACAACTCCACTACACCACACTACAACTACAACTACAACTACGACTACGACTACGACTACAACTACAACTGCACTACACCACACTACATCCAGCAGTTGTGGTACGGCGACCACTGCAACCATTGCAACCACTCCAAAAAACACAGCTCCAACCACCTGTCAGTCCATCAGTGGATTCGTTGTGCCATCCGTGATTCCTCTCCTATAGGTTTCCTATTTTTGAAACTTCCGCCACCGCCTTGTGCGGTACTACTGGTAGATGTTGGATATGGTCGTCAAATTTCGAAGTGAGTCATGATAATCATGATTCATATACTTTTTGAGTCTGATAGATAGATATAGTCTGATATATGGGTAGATTCAGATATATCATGATGAAATCATATTGAGTCTGGCTATATAGATTCTGACAAATCACCGTTTGGATATATGATATTATATGATAGACAAATAATAACTTCTGACACACGGTATGCTGGCTTGGATAATGTTGAGATATGATGGCTGGTTAGTACATGCTAAGCTGAATTGTGATGTGTTCATGACACTTACAAATGATATAACACCGGTTGATGGCATGAAATATATGATATATTCATATCCAAATCTCATGAAGGGGTCAGAACAGGATATGGCCAAACAGTTTTGGGCCGTCGCTTGAATGGATCATGCTCTATTGACACTAAACTCAAATGATTAATTCTGATTTTGATCTCGAGGGTAACTCGAATCATTGATCCTGAAAAGTAGGCGCAACAAGAACTTGTAAATGAATGTGTGTTTTCTTGGCTCATCTTGGTCCTAAATCTCGAATCACGAACCTGGCTTTTCAGTTGTGGTAAAAACACATGAAAAAACATGAAGAACTACACACGTGGCTTCGAGCACATAGCTCATCACTTTCCTGTGGTGTGGGCTCAGCTTCAGACGTGTAAAGCGGTTGAGAGAGATTCTCCAACGCAAAATCTCTGGACCCCTGTGCCGGTGAAGATGGCGAAATGGCTGAGTCCAAGTGACCTTCCGGCTCACACTTCACAATATTTCTTAGTGATGTGAAGGATTGTGAAAGATGGATAGCGATAAAGTCACCAAGAAACCATGGACCCAACTGAGAACAAGTGGGCACTCTTGTGCCAACTGTCTCCGTTTCTCCGTTTCCACTTGGTAGCTATGACATATTCCCCCTTAGTAGCTCGCCAAAACCCAGGCCTGCAAATCAAGCTCAGCAGCTTCTTCTACCTGACCATTGGAACCACTCCAACATCTCATAGTCATCACTGAACTGCACCAGCTGTTGCACTTGTTTGCCTTGATCTGGAAGACCATCTTTCTTGCTGGACGTGTCGAGAGAAAAACACCTCAAGGCTCTGTTGTTTCATTTCGTGCATCTGAAAATTGCAAAGAGGATAGCAAAGAAACGTCCTGAGTTCAAAGATTTGCGGTGATTGCAGGTACTAGGGTGACCTTCCTTGGTTGAACAGCAAAAGGAAATACGATTGTTCATAGCAACGAGAGGCACGCTACATCCTGGGAGGTGGACAGAACCAAAGGCTGTCTCCCACAGCCTGACTCACAAATCGCCCAGCAACATCATCAGGCAAAACATGTGACATCAGGTGATGGACTCTAAAGAAGGTCAGAGACACCCCATGATCATATGGTTTTCATATGGTTTCCATATGGTTTTCACATGTTTTCATTACTTTTCTGTTTTTGGCAGCAGGTATCTACATGTGACATGGGCTCCCAACTCTAGGTGAAAGATCATCGACATAACAAGTCAGTGCCTCAGTACCAAGGCGGCAATTCGCCTGCATGATCCAATTTTCCATGTCTCCTTGGCCTTGAAATGACACTTTTTGCAGGCTGTTTGCTGGTACAATATTTGATTTCTTATCAAGAAACGAGGACAGAACCCCATTTCACCATGACTGCTTTTTGACGGCATTTACAAGTCCTGATGAGCCGCAAACGAAAGTTTAACGACTACATGATCTTCTCTTTAACGTTGCTTCACCTTGTGTCTTCAACCTTTAACGTCACAATCAGCAAATGCACCGGCTCCAATCATCTCTGAGAACCCCTGCATCACAGCCGACTGACAAAAGCACCCAAACGGACCTGTCCAAAAGTAGCAGTGGTGGCCCTCCTTTGGAGAAATCATCTTGGAATCATCTATGATTATAAATTATATAAATAATATAATATAAACTGTAAACATGAAGAAAACATCAAAGTGTTGACGCGCAAAGCATCCGAAGATCGTAAGTTTCCGGCATGACAGTTGCTGTGCCAGTCATCTCCCCTGTGGCCTGGTAGTCCAGGAATGGTGGACAGCAATCACTGGGCCTATGATGTCAATACTTCGAGAAATGATTCAATAATCTTCAATCACATGAAAAATGTGATTCAATGTATCACTATAATTTATAATCATTTATAATCATTATACATTGTCAAAATTCGTGAAAGCATAGCTGTTTGAAGCAGAGAGTCAACCCCGATCCGGCCTGGATTGTGAAGGAGTGAAATCACCAAGCGTCTCTAGATGCCCCCATAATTTTTGGTAGAACGTAGAAATTGTGATCTGATTGGCTTAGCGATGCTTATCAGCTCTGTCTGACATCATTCATGTCAGCGTTTTAAAAAAATCTTTCATTAGTATCTTATCTTGCACACTACTTGAAACTCTAGTTCAAATTTTGCCTCAAATGCACAACTTGTCAGCCCTGAGCTGAAAGAAGCTCGCATGCATCCAACATGCCCGCGATTGCGCAGCAGCAAATCCACAAAATTTCAGTCGAAGCGACAGTCTTAGGAGTGTCACTATCGTATCTGCCTATGATCCCTGGCTCACTAGGACCGTTGAACGTCCTCTGAACAGATCTCAAGTCCTCTGTCTAAAGAAGAATGAGGCACTGCACATTGCGCAAATATGAAGGTGCAAACATGTCAGGCTGTCAACTCAAAGTCTCGATACATTTGCAAACACCAATACCTGACAGGCACTGTGCACAAAAGACATCCAGTTGTCTCTATCCTCAAGTGACATTTTCTCTACTCAACATTTGCTTCATCCAAGTTGATGCAATTCCATTGCAAATTGGTATTTTTATGACCTGTTTGCTCAGTTCATGTCCAACAATGTAGCTTTGGGTCAAGACCCAGGTGCTCTGGTGGATATTGTAAAAATACATACATATAATTATATATATGATATACATTATATCATTTTATATTGTTATATTCTCTCTATTTAATTCCATTTATCTTTCTATGGTACATTGATGTCCATCTCTCCTGTACGAAAAAGCCTCATGCCGCCCACTGCAGAACAAAGAAAACCACGCAGTCTGCCCCATGACCGGGGCACCCGCAGGCGACCAAACACATCCTGGATGCAGGTGGACTGTGCGAAACGAAAGTCATTGGATTAGTTCTCTTGGGAAAATTGATATGAAACATTATGAAACCATGTCTTTCTTCATTTTTCTTCCGGAGGATTGCAGTCATTCTTTTTTGTCTTTACAGAAAAGGTCTTTCGAGTGAAATTGTTACTTTCCTGTAATATTTTCTGTTCAAGCACTTCCTGGTGCATCCAAGCTTCGCAATGTGTAGCAGTACAAATGTCGCCGCGAAGACCATAAGTTCAGAAACTTCATGCTGTTCTTCTTCATCCTGGAGTAACGAAGCAGCTGCACAGTGATGCAAGCTCTTGGAACATGTCCACTTATTAAGCATATTCACAGTGTCAAACACCCACATAGGATACGCGCTCTTCATAATGGTCACATGGTCCCATCATTTCCTGTATGGTGAGCTTATCTCGCCTGCGCATCAGGATGATGGACATAGAAAGCCTGCCGCCAACTGTCCGAATGCCTGGAGCTCGAAAGATACCCTGGAGATGGAAACGTATAGAGATACGGAGATATTTTGATCATTGATTTCCTACAATCATCTACAATTACAATAAATAAATAACATAAATAAATAAATGTATATATAACAATGAAGGTATGACAATGTTCGCTACATTCCTGTATGTCCCATATGATTACCATTGATTACCTACCGAAATGTCTGGTGTCCATCAGCCTCCATTGACCCCGGAATCCTTGGCCTGAGAGCAGGATGTGGAAGCGGAAGGCTGTGATTTGTATGTAAGGTTAACCTCGGACCACTGCATCCAACCGTGATCAAAGGGTGAGAACATCTTTGAACCAAAGAAGTCATCCACCGATCTCTTCAGGGAACCCAACGATTGAACTGAATAATCTGAATATTGCAATATGCGGTCTGGAGCTTTTTGGTGTAAACTATTGGTAAACTCCTTTGAGCTATCTGCCATTTTCCAAAATCCAACATTTCAACATAATCAACATCAAACACCGCAATTCTCGAAGACTCTTCTCGACTCTCTGGGTTCACTGGACTTTCTCACTGGACTTGATGTTGATGGGATCCTGGTGTGCAATGGTGTGCAGATGCTTTCAGCAAAGTGCTGAAGGTGTGGCACAGTGCTGCAGCAAGGCCTTGGACTCAAGTCATCCAGGCTCTCACCTGCCGATTTATGGAACGATTTGGAACCCAAAATCAACGGAGGTAGGATGGCATGAATCAAGACATGTCAAGAACACTGCCCCTGTGAAATGTAAACATGTATCTACTTTCAACCATTCTTTGACATCTAATATCTTCTAATGTCTTTAGTGTCTCCCAAACTTTTTTTTTTAAAACTATGTTTTACTCGCATATTCCCATGAGCTTCTCAGCACTCAGCACAGCAGTGCTCTTAGCTGCAGGCCGTCCATTTTCGCCTTGCGATCCTTGGACAATAGTCCCACCTGGCACCGGGATGCGCCAGTTGCTTTAGGGGCACCAAATGTTCAGATAAAAATAGATGAATCAAATGATAAATCAATATATAAATCATGCTTTCTGGAGGTGGTTCATTTTCATATATTTTCATGAACAGGGAAGGGATATATCATTGACTTGGGTTCACAATGGTTCAAAGATGTTCAAAGGCCCGGAATCCGCAAGCTGAGGAAGTCGCAGGATGTTTCCTGGGTGGCCAGGTTTGGAGGACGCGAGGAACATGAGATCAATAAGCCATATGCTCCATGTATGGAATATATACCTACATTTACCCAACAAATGGCCCATTCATGTAGGTAAATAATGGTAAATATACGGGCAAACACCTCGATTTGCCCGCGCTTGTCGGCGGCCATCTTCGTATGTGCTGAAAACGTGATAAAAATGGGAGTTTTTTGCATCATGGCTAACTTCATGTTGTATATCGGCACGCACAGCATAGGGACCTGTGCGAGTCTCTTACACATCATCATCATCATCATCATCATCATCATCTTAAACCCTTCATTGTGTAGAAGTTTAACGGGGGTGGGAGAATTAAACCCTTATTGAAGATCTTCAATGAATGGAAAGTTTAACGGGGGTGGGAGAATTAAACCCTTTTTGAAGATCTTCAATGAATGTAAAGTTTAACGGGGGTGGGAGAATTAAACCCTTATTGAAGATCTTCAATGAATGTAGAAGTTTAACGGGGGTGGGAGAATTAAACCCTTATTGAAGATCTTCAATGAATGTAGAAGTTTAACGGGGTGGGAGAATTAAACCCTTATTGAAGATCTTCAATGAATGTAAAGTTTAACGGGGGTGGGAGAATTAAACCTTATTGAAGATCTTCAATGAATGGAAAGTTTAACGGGGGTGGGAGAATTAAACCCTTATTGAAGATCTTCAATGAATGTAGAAGTTTAACGGGGGTGGGAGAATTAAACCCTTATTGAAGATCTTCAATGAATGTAGAAGTTTAACGGGGGTGGGAGAATTAAACCCTTATTGAAGATCTTCAATGAATGTAGAAGTGTAACGGGGGTGGGAGAATTAAACCCTTATTGAAGATCTTCAATGAATGTAGAAGTGTAACGGGGGTGGGAGAATTAAACCCTTATTGAAGATCTTCAATGAATGTAGAAGTTTAACGGGGGTGGGAGAATTAAACCCTTATTGAAGATCTTCAATGAATGTAGAAGTTTAACGGGGTGGGAGAATTAAACCCTTATTGAAGATCTTCAATGAATGTAGAAGTTTAACGGGGGTGGGAGAATTAAACCCTTATTGAAGATCTTCAATGAATGTAGAAGTTTAACGGGGGTGGGAGAATTAAACCCTTATTGAAGATCTTCAATGAATGTAGAAGTTTAACGGGGGTGGGAGAATTAAACCCTTATTGAAGATCTTCAATGAATGTAGAAGTTTAACGGGGGTGGGAGAATTAAACCCTTATTGAAGATCTTCAATGAATGTAAAGTTTAACGGGGGTGGGAAATTTATATTCCCTAAATACCCTTGTTGATCTTCCCAATTGAATGTAAAGTCTAACGTTTGATATCCCCAAGTGTACAGCATAGAAGGGGTGTGGGCGAATCGGGGTGTTTGCGCGTAAATATACTATACATGAAGCATATGGGTAAATAAACAGGAAATATCAATGAGCATCTGCATTGAACTCCTATTACAAGATGTGAAGATTAAACCACAAACCTATCTGGATAGTTTTGTTTGATACTTGCCTTCCCGTATACGATCTTGTTTGGCGCAAGGCTTCCCAGGTTTGCCAGGGCACTACACCAGCATGATGGGCATGATGTTGTGTTTCACAATCCCCGACAGGTTCCCTTTAAGCCCTGCCTTATGTCCAGTTGTTGGTGATCAGGGCTTTCACAACCCATTCGTGGCCAGGGATCGTCGCAAGAGAGGGCTGACTTGGACTTTCCTGGGACGTAGAATGCGACATATAAACCCTGGGAAACTCTTCAAACTAAGTGTCACTTATTTCACTTATGGGCTTCTAATCATTTCAACACATTTCAAATCCTCCCCAATCAAAGGCATATCAACATGTATCAACTATATACCCGATGTTCATATCTCCAAATATAATCTGTTGCATTCTTTTGCTCTTTGCTTCAACTATTTAAGATGCATCAAACAATTACATACAATTACACTATATAATCAACACATATCAACACATATATCCATAAGATATCACAACAGCGCCCGGCCATCATTTAGAAAGTGGCCAGCCTGGCCACCCGAGTTTCCCCGCTGTTGGTTCCAGGCTGGCGCACACTGAGCTCAAGCCCAAACCGAGTCCAATCCCGAGGCCCAACCTGACGGAAACCAAAGATCGCCACAGTTTTTTATTGAAGAAACTGGAGCTAGATCTGGGTATGGCAAACCATGGTAAACAGTTTTAACATGTTTTAAAATGTGTTAAACATCTTTCAATGACAATTGCGAGTACCATGTATATCTACTTTTTCCCCCGTTTTCGGGCTACAGTACTCTATCTTGATCCATGCCCATGTGTGATACATTGCGGCGATATCCAATGTTGAATCACAGCATTGTCCCGAGCTGATTGATCGGATGCTTTTATGATGTTCTAAACGTTTTTCAGACTGAAGTCTCGCATTTTCCGAGGAGCACAGCTTGTACGGAAGCCACACATCCCTGGAACACGCACCAACCACACTAACAGAGCCAAGCTTTTCACCGGGCACCCATGGTGCAATATCAACCTGCTCAGCTTTTGAACGCGCTGGCATGGCAGCTATGTAAGTCTGTCCCAGAGCAGGCATGTCGAATCATGGTCGTCAATGGGTGGAAAACCATGCCGACTTTCCTGTTTGAAGTGCAACATGATTCCCCGACCAAACCTCCGCAAATGAACATGCAAGACTTCAGATTCAGCCAACATCGACATCTTCCCATAACCCTGATGTTGTGATGTCGGTCCTGATTCAGCGTGAATAGATTGCTGGCATGCTGGCACTTTGATCAGCATGTCACCATGGCCCATAAACAAACTGAACAACACCGGCCAACCTATTGCTTGCTGTCGGATATTGTAGTGGGAACTGCAGTATTGAAAACCATTGCCTTATGACAGCAAATAACCTGCTACAACTGCAGGCTGCTGAAGGCAAAGATTGGTCCAATGTTGGAATCAGTGAATCATGAAAAACAATGAGGCCGTATCTGAAAAGTTCTCTCACTAGCACCACTTGTTTTTTGGCATCTAGTCCTTGCATATTTCTGTGCATAAGCTCTTAAGTCTGAGCCAGGCATGCCATCAAAATTGACCCATCACCTCGAGTATCACTTGCGGCGGAATCCCCATCCCCTATTAATAAGATTTAATAAGGATCCCCAAACAAACCCTGGTTGTTGTATACTGGAATTGTTCATTTTGGGTTCCCTTAAGCCAGGGGTCTATTTCAGGCTGTATTTTGGGGGGAAGAATTTGCTCTGCAAACATCACTTTTCCTCAGTGCGCCAAAGGTATTTTCACGCATGACCTTGGGCGCAAGACCTGAGGGTGGCAATTCGTCACAGGACAGAGCAAATGGGATCAGTTCAGTTGGGTCTGCAGAGTCTCTTTGGGGTCTGCAATTCAAAGACACCTCGGATCTCACTTGCCTTCTGTGGCCCACGCAAAGTCATTGAAGGGCCTCTGAAAGCGTTGGTGAAACCCTGCTGTTTGGTGCATCCAATGAGCAAAACTGTCGGAAAACAACCTTCATCTGTGGGAAATCTGGGCTACAATGCACATGACTCTTGTTCCCTTTGTTGCTCGGGTCCAAAACAGAAACAAAATCCCAAACAAAATTCAAACCAAACATTCCTCGAACACACTCAAGATGCAAATTCATTCGTGGATCTCACCGAAGCACTCACCCTGGAACTGTTTGAATGGGAAAATTGGGAAATCTCTGAGGAGACCGGCCCAATCGGGAATTTGCACCGGCGTTGACTTCGGAGGAGGCCTTGGATGGTGTCCAAGCCAAGGGTGCCTTGAGATCTGCAGCTGCCTTCAGATGACCATTTATTGGTTGTCGATTGAGACGTGTTTAAGACCGAAAGTAAAACAATATGAAGAAACATTTCACATCATATCCAATCATCATATGAATCATATCCCATATTGAATCATCATATCCAATTTATTATCCAATTTAAATTATATACATTCAACGCGTTGATAACAACGTTGTTTATCCTGGATAATCTCGTTAACATCAACAAAACACTGCGTGGCATCACATCACCTTGGCTCAGGACGGAAGCGGCAAGGCATTGAGCCAAGGTGGAGCCTGGTGTATCTCGAACATCTTCCCAGCGATGGGAGGATATATATAAACCAACAGGAAGAAGACTGGTTCAGAAACACGGCTGGGAGATGGACATCTACTAAGACCAGGCTGAAAGGATCTGAAAGGCTGAAAGGTCATTTTCACTTCCCCATCAGCTTCAATTGGGGCTTTTGTGCTGGTGAGATTGTGTCAACCAAATATTGATATGCTATTGATCAACAACCAAGGGTATGCAATGGCAACCCAGTTGGGATTTCGCCAAGTTTATAATTGTTAGAATCAATGTAGTGGATAAGTGGCGCAAAAACACTGTCAGTGTCCTTGGTTCTGAATGGAATATCACCCGAGAAACTGGGACAAAAGCAACTTTGAGTCACTTACAATTGCTAGCGTGCTCACCCAAACAAAAGGCAACCGGGTTTGAACCAGCCAAACAATAAATGGTCAACAAGTCTACACGTGTCTAACCGTCACAATCTCCGACCTTTGTTGCTGTCTTGGAGGTGGTCAACGGCGCAGGAGGTGTATCCAGCCTGGGTCGACACCAGAGTGCAGTCTGTCAGAACTCCGGGTCTTTCAAAAATGGGCCGAATCCGCTAGTTTCCACTTCATTCTCAATGCTTCAAGGGCGGATATTTCAGGAGTGAAATCTCAACATCATACTGTGTGCTGTTCCTAAAGCCAACTTTTTGATGATCTTCGATGATCTTCGATGATCTTCGATGATCTTCGATGATCTTCGATGATCTTCGATAGTTGCTTTATGTTGCTTCCACTGCATCAATTGTTGGCTTCTGCAATAAATCAATTCTGCGAAGAAGTCCCACAGCGGACCACTGGGTGGAGCCACTCTGGATCCAAGAACGGCCTGGTAGAGTCACGGGAGTCACGGAGCTGTGAGATCTTAGGATGGATCTCTATAATCATCTTCAAATGCGGTATGTCATTGCATTTCTAAACAGAATTCATTTGACATATTTGACTAAAAGCAAGAAAAGCAAGCTCCAAATGCTCTGGGAAAAAAGTGACCCTCCAACTGTGAACCAATCCATTGAGAAAGAAATTCCACAGATTTCCACAGTGTCATGCCCCAGCACCTCATTGGGAAGGCGCCAGGGAAACCTTAGGAGACAGGGCAGTTGCCAACCGGCCAAGCGTGGCACCAAATCGCCACCGAGGTTCCGACCAAAGCCGGGGAAACCCGGTGGAAAACCAGGCGGAAAACCCGGAGGGAAGCCAGGCCTTGGATGAATGTCGTGCGGCTACCGCAACAAGGACTTGAAGCCTCCATTTATGAAACATCACATCAGTATGGGATCTTGAAATACTGAGGAATCCGCGGAAATCCGGCAGGGAAAGTTGGATCTTGCGGCATGCCATCCTCCAATGAAACACAAGACTTGGCAAGTCTTGCGCATTTGTTCCACTTACTAGCACCGTTAGTAGGTGTCCTTTAACAACGAACATTATTTCCGCCAAGCAGCTGTAGCAAAGCTCAAACCTGAAACTTTTCTGCATCTTCTAATATGTTTTATGAGCTTCGACTTCAACATCTTTCAATGCTGACAAGAACATCGTTGATATTAAAATCCTATTAGAAGCTATTAGACATTAATGTGGTAAACCCAATGACTATGACTCATTTACCATTTGGGGATTTGGGGATGGTAAACATACCACCCATAAAAATGGGTGGTTTTGGGATGGTAAACATAGCATTGGTTTTCCCGTATCAGCTGGACATCCTTCATCATCTCTGCCAGGACTGGTGGAACTGGCATCGCCCCATGGATCGGTTGGACATCCACAGCAACTGGCGCAGTGCGAGATGGCCACGCTTAAGCCACGTGCGAGGCCAAAGAGATGATGGTCTGTTGGTGATTCCGCGTGTTGAGAAGTTGAGGACCAACAAATTCATTGCTTTCACTCATTTGTGCTGCCATAAATTCCTGAAGTCAAGCCACTCACATGAAGATCATGAAGACTATATAACATTTTGTATCTACGTATCTGGCAAAGTCTTCTCTTGATTCTTACAACATCCACTTCCCAATATCCACCATCGACACGCAGGCCTTGAGGCACCTGCCCAAGCGTTGACTTGACATGACTTGATTACAAATCGTGTCTTTTGATATCTCAAGTAATGGCGGTTTCTAACCAGAAATATGAACAAGGAAAGTGACAACATCATAATAATATGTATAATGATATAATAATATATAATAATACCGTACCACAAAGAACTTGCGGGCAAGACTTGCAGGGGTACGGGTCAAAATTGGGATGCTCCCAAAAACGGATGACAGCAACATTAATCAAAACTTTATAATAAATTAGATAACAAGACATTACCAGTACATGTCCAGTAACCAGCTTAAATCAGCTTAACCAGCCCATTCGTGGGCTTCGATCGTCAGCTCCCCAGCTCCCTACCTCTGGCGCCGCTGTCAATCCTAACTGCGCCACTGCTGCAGAACTGGCCATCCTAAAGGACACGAATGGACACGATATCGAGGGATCCAATGGGATCCAAAGATACAGAGCTGGTGACTTCTCAACTGAAAAATTGGAATCTGATTGGCTTAGGATCTGAAATTCAGATCTCCTGATTGGCTCCAGCATTTAGAAAAGGATTAGACCATATTAGACCTCATTCGTATCACAGGACATCATTGGGCCATCAAACATCAAAAATCCCGAGAAAAAAGTCTGATGACCTCACCCTGAAATTAGGTGCCTCCTCAAGCGTTCCAAGACTTCTAGCACATGCGTAATGGGAAGCGCCTGTCGCAAGGGTGTACCAAACTACCAACTTCAAGGCATGTGAGTAGTGTGAATCATATATCTGATACTATCTGATTATCATCATTTGGGAGTCCTGTCCCGTGCTGGCACAAAATTGCTTAGCATTGCTTAGCTTTTCCAACATTTAATTGATGCTTGAGTCTGAGAATCTGAGTCTCGGGCCTCTCGTAAGGCTCCACGTTGAGAGTCCCAAACCTCCTCAAAGCCCTGCATCAAACAGTCGCGCACAGAGGGTGGCGACACGTCCCGCAGCCTACCACAGGGCCAGGCGATGAGGGAAGCGTCAGAGAATGTCACTGTAAAGAACATAACATATCATTGGATATCGTTGGGTGGAACATGATATGGATGTATCTCCATATATTCTGATTCCACGAACATCCGCGAAGCATAAATATTGATGAGTGCTATAATATAGCAGACTGCTTACATGTGCTGTTGTTAACATTTCATGTGCACAATAGACTCACTAAGACGGCCAAACAAAACATGTCGAAACGAACATACGACCAAGAGTTCAACACACACACACACTGTGGGTAATGGTGACACACACACAAAGGATCACTAAGGACTAGAACATATAACTCAAACACATCACTGCACCTGGCAATTGCTGACCCTACCGAGCGACCTTGCTGTTGATTCCGGCAAGAACTTTCGTCAAATAATGGCATCACAGAGTGTCACAGAGGCAAAGATCATCACAGTGCGGTCAGTTCTGTCACCCAAGGACGGGGCTCAAGGTGTTCATATCACTTGGCTGGTCTTGAAGTCTGCCCACATCTAGAGCTACCTGCCAACGATTCGATGATGGGCAATGGCAAAGAAAACTTCCGGAAAGAAGTGTCCAGAATCGAATATACATCTGGTTGCATGTCGAAATACCTCTTTGCATCCTTTGGTATCCTTTAGCTACCACAAAAAAAATCCCGGCACAGAATGCAGTATGGAATTTGAGTGGGAATTTCTTTTCTGCAATGTCCATGTTCTATATCTGAGTATATCTGAGTCACCATGCATCGATGGATGTCCATGGAAGCCATGAAACCATGGCTGAGACAGTTGGCCAGCATTTCGCTGCCTCTCCCTCAGAGAGAACGACTTGAAGCCGCAGGAGCGCCTTAAAAAAAGCAGGAATCTGCGGAGAGGAACTGGTCCAATCCGTGGCAAACTTCGGTTTTCATGTTTGACAGTTTGATTCTTCCCAAAGTTGTCAAAACAGATATTGATGAGATTGACCATGCAGAAATTTTGACCACTCTGTATCAACAAAGGGCTAAGGCTACGGTGTTGAAACCTTGACTCCCGCTGCGCCCCGGGGCTGTTCGATCTTGGAAGCCGACCCCTGCGGCCAGTCCTTGCGGCAGGACTCTTGCTCCAATCTTAGTGGCCGCGTCTGCCACAAACCCAGCAGACTGAAACAGAAAACTGATGAAACCTGTAGCATCCTGTAGCAGTCTACAGTAACTTCAAGGACTGACAGTCAGGGAAAGTCTCAAGTAGCAAGTCTTTGTGACATCACTCAGCACATGTGTGCCGCGGCCTATGGTCAGATATGATCATCACATCTCTGGAGTTGCTTTGCATCGACAGAATTATATAGGATTCCTGCTGGGTCAAAGCGTATCCGCACAGCCTGCTCGATGGGGCACACGGGTACACGAGGTCTGCTGTTTTTTTTGTCTTTTGCGTGTCTGTGTAAGTTTGGGGGTATGTATGAGCATGTGTCCATTGAATTCCATTGAGGCATCAAACATGCCACTTGGCATGAGCATGGCTGACAGATGCTACCCTCTGGTAAACTAACATGGCTATGGAAAATCACCATCTTTAATAGGTAAATTAACTATAAATGGGCCATTTTCAATAGCTATGTTAAATTACCAGAGGGTAACAGGACACTGTCAGGACCGCCTCCGACAAACCGCGAATGCGCAGAGGTGCATAGTCGGCACCTGTGAAAGCTGCCAGAGCCAGAGGGACTGTATGGGACCCTGCACAAAACTCAGCTGCGTCCAAAATCGTGCCTAGTCCAGCTGCTAGTAAAAGAGAGCGCACCGGAATAGGAAACCTATGAGACATCGCACGGTGAAAAGATCAGACATATATGTAAAAACATGGAAAGCAAATAAGCAACATTCATATAAAACAAAATGAGAGCAAATGAGAGCAGCCTTTCCATCATTACTGGCAGACTAGAGCAGTCTGGTTTGGGAAGGGGTGAAACTCACAAGGTCTTGAGATGCTTTCTACGAGGCCGACACTGTAACTTGAAGTTTAATTCCCTAGTCTAGTTTCTAACTCCACTTCGTCTAGTTTCTAACTCCACTTCTCTGTGCCTGTTTCAATAGTTCCAACACATTCATCTTCATCCTCATCATCCTCATCATCCTCATCATCCTCATCATCCTCATCATCCTCATCATCCTCAACCACATCCATGGCTTCAATGGCTTCTGGTTAGCACCTGAGTTTCAAACCCATCCACCATTTGGCTTCGCGGCAGTGACACCACTGCTTGGCGCAAGGCTTCTGCCAGCTGCTTGCTCAGCTCGTTCAGCACAGATCGAGCCTGGAAGGCCTTCATTTGCGTGCAAGGAATCTTTGAACACCCTATTTGGATCAGAACATCTTGGGGAGAATTGTGAGTCCATGTTGCTTCGACCGTCAAGTGTCTACAGTCTACAACTACATGTCCATACTTTCTTGATCTTTTATGCCTCAAACGTTGAGACAATCCTCCACTGACGCAGAAAGGTCAAGGTTCAGCTGGGGCCCGCCTCTGTCTCCCTTGTGGCAGCGTCGCCCTGTGGTTCCAAGAAGTGTTGCCTTGGAGTTCTGGTGCAAAATGACGACTGACATGGCGGCACTTCAGCCGACCAAAAGGAGACACCCAAGTGGTACAACTTCACATCCAATGATCTTGAGAGAGTTCACACGTGCAAACACGCACACAAGTAGGGTAGATTGGACTCGACAGGCAGTCTTGAGGCAAATGCTTGGACACCCGCCCGCGCCGTGAGCAAAAGGATTGAGTGCTCAGTGCCTTCAGCAACAACAAATCTCGAAACATACTATGCCCCTGGCAAATTGTCAGCAAATAGTTGACCATGGTGACCATGCTGACCATGGTGATGCTGATGCTGATGATGACGATGATGACAATGACGATGATGATGATGAATAAGAAGAAGAACTAATAATATTATGATGATGGTGATGATGATGGTGATGATGATGGTGATGATGATTGTGACGATAATGGATGATACTTGATAATGATTCTGCTGAGGATGATGATGAGACTGAAAAGTACAATATAATCAATGACCGCAAAACAAAACCGAACATGTGAATGCACAAATATTGACTCTGCTACTACTTGAAGTCAACACTGTCAGATTCTCTGCCGAAAACTACCTTCATTCAACATTGGTGATCTAAGATGATCTAAGCTCTTAATTGCCATCATAAGTTCGTACCTCTGTGTCGCTCTCGCTTGTGGTTTTGAATGTAACGCCAATCTTCTCCACCTCAAATTCTATGTGCCTCCACACACTTCTGTGCAGATTGGGCCCGAGCTTTCGCCTCAGAGAGATATGAATCTGGAGTCGAGTTCTGGTCTGTGCAGTTGATGACCGCAAAGACTATCCACAGGCCGCCAACAGCAGCCATTACAACAACCAGCTCGTCACAAATACACAAATTTGGATGGCTCAGAGTGGCAGTAAAAGGTTCATTTGTTGCTGACTCATCCATCATTTGGAAGATCATGGATCATGCGATAAGCAGGTCCGCCTCCTCTGAGTCATCGTCTAGCCAATCCTTCTTCACCTCCCACTGCTGGGGCCTGCTGTCAAAACTGGGACCAAAAAACCGCAGACTGCACGTTTGTTTCCCATGTGATCAGCTGGCAAATTTCATGTCAAGTTTTCGTACGTACTTGTGGACCAAGTGATAGTATCGTATGTACTTATTATATCTTACATTACTATCTCCTCATGATTGTTGAAAGAAGATGAAAGAAGTAAACCTTCTGTAACCTTCCCCCTCATCATTCCGGATGCATCGGATGCACATCTAAGGCCTCTTTGTGCCATCCATGCAGTGGCAGCGTTGCGTGCAGCATCCCGGGGGCTGTGCGGGTGGATATCCCGGAGGATACTGCGACAAATCGCGCGGCCACGCTGAGACGAGTTCCTCTGGCTGCTTCCCCATGACGATGCCATGACGACACCGAGGATCTGACCTTAGCACCAGCATCTGATATGGCAAGTGCGGCATGGGGAACATGCAAGGATCTCGGTCTTGAACCAAACATCCTGGAACATCAGATCATATCAGATCCAAACATCTCCGAATGCCATAGGATCAAAGCCGTAACATATATACATTCCTCCTTTGCAACAGAACTGAGAGCCTGAGAGCCCCAGGCCCCAGGCTGCCTATCTGCAGATATCTGCAGTTGAGCCACATATCTTCCCAATTGGACCAACTCCTGGATTCCACCGTGGGCACGGCTCCCGCGGCTCCCCCGGCTCCCACGGCTCCCGCATCTGCCGTCGCTTCCGGAGCGGCCGCGGGTTCTGCATCCATGTCGGACTCATCGTCGTGATCGTCATAGGCAGAGAGAAGGGATCCAACCATCTGGGACTTAGCCGGTCTGTTGGCATCGTTCTCACTCGTCTTGGAGGTGGACCTTGTGGCAGAATCTGGAGGAACTATGAGGGACTGAGGCATATGAAGATTTGTTGGGTTTGGCGATAGTTTGTGACTTGAGCTTCAAAGCATTTCATCCAACTAGCCTTTTGTCACAATCAAGGTAACGTTCAAAACACGGCAATAAGAACATACAAGAACTATGATACCTTCATGCGCTTCATGAATGCCTTCGAGCAACCCAGCACCCTGCGATTTGGGCGTTGCTCTGGAAATGACGGGGGCTGCTTGAAGCACCCCAGGAGCCGGTGGTGCCAGAGGCGCCTGTGGCGCCTGCGGTGCTGGTGGCGCCGGTGGTGCGAGTGGTGCTGGCGCCGCTGGAGCTGTCATTGCAGCCATTGCAGGAACGGCTTGAGGCCGACCCAACCCATCAGTGCCAGCAGCACCGGTGGGGAAGTTCCCTCCCAAGATCTGCTGTAAGGCCGCCAACATGGGCTGTGACATGGGCTGATTGAAGACGTTGACAGTCACATTGGTCGCATTGGCAGGTAGAGATTTGGGATTGCATCCCAGTGCAGCAAAGTCACCAGGATTCGTAGGGTTACCAGGCTGGCCAGGTGACCCCTGACATGGCATCGGTGGAACCTGTCCAATGAGTCCATTAGCTCCAACTGCGCTGGGCACCCGAGGATCTACCGACCCTTGGGGCCATCCGGGGCCGCCGGGGCCCGGGACCGCCATGGCAACTCATGACGGCAAGGAGTCAAGTCATGTAGCTGTCGAAAAGGTGGAAACCTGGTGTATGACTTAATGGGTCCCACGGCTAAATGTGTTTTAAAAGTTCATGATTCGTAATGGTTCATAAATACCTACAACTTGGCGGGGTTAGAACCCCATTCGCAAGGATCACTGGGAATGAAACCTTGCTTTGCTTCCCGCCAGTATGGTTTTGGTCTCCAAGGTCACATCTGTGCCTGATGCGGGGCCTACATCACACCCTAATGTGGCATCTCATCGCACAAAATTCCAATCTGCGACATATTTTTGTCTCTGGCACTCTGAGATCTTGGCAAGCTGCATGAGGTCAGACCGTGCGAAATCAAGTCCACTGCGTTCTGTTGCAGACTCCCTCCAAATATAGCGACATGTCATGTCCTGTAGTGATCAATGACCAACTCATCTGAGAAAAACAATATAACAATCTCATCAGCTTTCAGCCACGGCATCTTTTTCCACGGGTAATCCAAATCGATCAGAGCCCAAAATTCAGACTCTGCCAAGCTCCTGCCATTTGGCAGCCACCGCCACGCGCCACGAGGTGTACCATCCCGGCGGGATCGCTCAATGAACACCCACAAAGTGGTACTGGTATGTGTCGTACCTCACAGTGAAAAATTCACGTTCTTGCCAATGATCTGTGCGTAACGGATCTTCAATGGAAAACCTTGACCCCAATCAACCTCTAGCAAACTACCAGGTAATCTAGGTACTGGTAGGGGCAATTGTATGGAAAACTATAACATGCAACCGCAAGGAAACCCATACAAATCTGGCTGATAGGCAATGTGTGCAGTGTCAACGGGCACAATCTGGAGCGCCAGTGGTCGATGGAGTCATCGATCATCCTTGGATATGCTATGCTCGGCCTCTGAGAAAGGGAACAAACTGTTTCCTTTGTTCTATCTTGGCCAAATACGTAACAACATAGAATATCAATGAATACTATTTTCATTATTTTCTCAGTATCAACTAATTTTGTCCCTTATCCACAACATGATATACAGCATATGAACTCTTGTCCAATCCCAGATCTGATGAACACACGTGCACAGTTGAGGCCCAAACCTGTTCACTGATTGCCGAAACTCCTGATGTCGAGGTATTTGCGATCACCAATGCATCTCTAGGATTCTCTAGGGATGTACCCTCCAATAAAAATTACAGACTATCTAAATCCCGATACTATATGCCAATGAACACCACACAATGTTGTGAAAAAAATCCTCACAGAACTCCAAAATCAAGGAACCAAATAAAAAACAAAAAAATAAACTTTAAAAACAACAATCCCACAAAACGACTGAACATAAAACACAATTCAGAAAAAAAAGAAACAACATAGAAACAACTGGAAAACAGATACTCAACAGAAGACTCACAAAAACATAAACAAAAAGAAAACAAATCAACATATAGAAAAAAAGGAAACTTTGCTGCAAAATGCTGATTTTGAAGGAAGAACTTGGGAAATCTGCTGAACATTGGAAAAACATCAGGAAAAATAAAGATTTGAGTCCGGGATTGAGTCTTCTGTTGAGTCTGGATTTGTGTCTTTTAATCGTGTGGGAGAAAAAAAACAAACATGTTAAAAAAAAACTACGGAAACAAAAATCAAAAAATAAACAAACTATAAACATATAATTAGCATATATCATATATATATATATTGGTATATATGTATATGTTATATATACATTATACTATAATATTATTATTATACAATTATACAATATTATACATATGGTAATTTACCACATGTCAGGATGTCCTCATCGGAGATTTTTCTGTCACCGCCGTTTCGAACGCCCCCAGGCCTGACATCCATGTCGTTGCAAAGGTAGGTCCACACAACACATGCAACATTCCTGTGAAAAAACCACCCAACATTTCCGAAGCTTGGTTTCGAGATCTTCACAAGATCACCATTAATAATATCGAATATCACCCATCTGGTCAACGTGGATGTGATCCTGCAAACAGTGTGCGCCATTGTGCGCCCAAAACATCCCAAAACCTATAAAAAATGCGATTTTGAAGGATTCTGGAAAGATGAAAGAAGTACTTCTGTGTCTGCCCAATCTCCTCTGAAAAACGGTAGCAAAGAGGCCATGGGTGCCATGGGACTTTATCCCAAGCCAATGGGGCTTACAAGTCCGGGGAGAAAAAGCCAAGCTCCCAGCAATCCAAGCCGGTCGCAAATGTCCTCCAAGACAGCCTCACATCTTCCGTGGGAAACGGTGCTCTTGGTTCTATGAAAGTTCTGACGAAATAGTAAATAGTCCATGGACATCCATTGACCATGTTTCAGTCATTGAGTATATTGAGTCATTGACCACTAATGTGCAACTAGATAAATATAGATAAATCAAATAAACTTCAAGGCTTCGCTGAAGACCAAAGAACCACAGAAGACAAGTGCTGCTCACAGGATGCCAAAAGCATGACTCTCCTGCCTCAGGGTAGCCTCGTGGATGGCAGAAACAGTTCATCTGGCTGTTCTCCGACCCCAGCCTCAGCACAGTGTCACGCCTTGATGCCCTGCACCGGTCGGTCCAATCCAGTGCACATCAGGAATCACCAGGACAGCTGAAGGCGCCGACATGCTCAGTTGTACCAACCCCAAGAGTTCCTGCTGGTTGAGCCAACCGTTGAGCCAACCGTTGAGCCAACCGTTGAGCCAACCGAAAAGGTGTTGCTGATTTGGATCATGCCCTGGGTGGAACATCCACCAGCGGTGCAGTTGGTCTCCTGAGCATGGGAGCGAACAGCTCTCATGCCATCCAGGATGGCTGATCGGAACACCTGGCAAATAGATGCTGTGGACATGATGGCTGCACATGATCTGAACGTATCTGAACCAATGTTATAAGATGTTATATGATGTTTGATTGTCAAAATGGCAAACCATATGATATCCAATGATATTCACACAATCATATATATGACTGTCACATGTAATTGATTACCTGATTGTGACAGTATGACATTCCTATGAAATTACTATGCCATTACTATGCTCTTCATTGAAGCAAAAAACAACGGCTCTGCCTGGAACTCGTTGCCATCGGTGGGTCCAAGCACTTCCACAAGCCTGGAGGCGCCACTTTTTGAAGTTCTTAAGCATCAACAACTGGTCATTGAGCCCCACCCTTTCCGCAAACGTTGGTCATATATGGTCATATATGGTGATATTTGATATTTTCTCATATTATCTCATTGAAAATCATTACATATTCATGTAATTTTGGGGTTCTTTGACCAGTTCCATCCAGTTCCTCTTCCCATGGGACACCAAGATCAGTATGAATTTCAATGGACACACCAGTATTTGTAGTTTTTTTTCTTCCTCCATTCTTTCCCTGCCTTCAGTTCAAACCTACAGCTGCAATGCTGGCATGGCAAAGCAACAATTCCCTCAGCATGGTTCGTTCTGAGATTCCCTGGCTCATTCGTCAGTTTGAAGCCCGCTGAATGCTCGAAGCCGCCAATGTGTTGCATGGCCTGACGGATTGGTTGACATCTGTAGACGCAACCTGTTTTCGAAAAAAAAGAAAGCCATAACCCATAGGATCCATGTATACATGCTAACATTGGGGGTATATTGATGGTAAATGTTACCATATATAGCATACATGGATTCTATGGGTAAAAGAAAGCCATGAAGAAAAAGTTAGTCTTGGAAACTCTCCCAAAAAGCGAATTGAGCATCGGGGAAGTGGTCGAATGGCCTTCAAACAGGCTAGACTTCTGAACTTGGAATGTCTAACTATGCCGATGAATGAGCAGCTCATGAGCATAAGTGTTCTTGATGTGTACCTTGTTCTCTTCCTGAAGCATGAGATACATGTTCCAACAAAACCTTCCAGACCTTCCATCGCATTTCATGAGTCCCTTGACTGCACCTTCCCGCCGGGAGCACCACATAACATAAAACCGAAGTCCACGTGAAGGACCTCATTGCAAAGTTGTTTTTCATCAGTCATCCATAGATTTGCATGGCAAAAACAACAAAACAATGGGTCCTGGATAGAAGAAAGCGTCTTCTATCCAAAGTAGCTCTGGAATTCTCAGGTGAAACAGGTGAAGTTCGAGGTCCGCACGTGTCCTTCATCATTTAACATGATGTTGCCTTGGCACAATGCTACAGAAATAATCTCTTAATGATTGTGTCAATATATCAGGTATGCCAGGTACGCTACAAACTCTGAACAAACCATCTCGAAAAATAAAGGGCTTCACCCCATCCCCATCCTCACTCTCCCAAATCCTTCATGCATGGCATTTCCTCGAGAACTGACTGAGGATGGTGCCGTTGTGCCGGTCACGGATGGCCAGAACGTAGCACACCACGGAGTACCTCTGCCCAGCGCTGCCACGGTGTCCATCCCTGTAGATACACAACTATCACAACTTGAAATGACCCAGGACGAACCATCCAAACTATGGGTTACCTGGCACACTTGAGAGTCAGAGTACCAATGTGTGCGGACGTCATGTTTTGGTTGCGGGCATACTCACTTGTTCACTCAACTGTCCAACGCGTGAGTTGATGATCCCCGAATCAAAACTGCGGTTCAATGGTGCCATTTGGAGGCTTTTTCCTTGAAACCTACCTTAACTTGCAGTTCCACTGCCGCACGCCGCCATGGAGTAGATGAAGTTGAGCTTTGCTGTTTTGAAAGAGACAGACCTGAGATCGGGCTGAGCCCAGGACCATCCAGGACCTCTGCAGGCCATCCCATCCAGGCAACCCATCCCTGAGGCTGGCGCTTCTCCCTTCCAAAACCATGAGGTTGATCATCCCCCTGGGCCACCAAATGCCACACGGTTTTTTCTTCAGGATCTTCAGGTGTCCACCAAATTTATGATATATATATAAAATTTATACACATTTATAATCATTTATACATAATATATTTAATGACATATGTATACATCCACTTACTTTGACCAGGCTTCCTTTCGCGAGCTGCCGGGTGAACACTGAAAATCACGCTCCCTCGGAGTGACCCGCCAGAAATCCAGCTACCGTTCTCACTGCAAGACTTGGCCCCCTGGCGGTGAATGATTCCTCAAAATACCTGGCTATCTGGCCGCTTTGCAGGAAACGGCTTCTCGTGTTGGGATAATCGCTATGGCCGCTATGGCCCTTTAAGCCAACCCATTCCACCATCACATGCCGCAATCGGCGGGGGTTGTTTTTTGGCCCAAAAATCTTCACAACAAGATTCACCATGATTCACCCGTAAAAATCGCTGAAGATGGAAGCCTGGTAAACCTGGATCACTGCACTTGACCTGGACCATCCTGGACCCAAATCATTGGTTAACTCAGCAATGGCATTCCATGTGCATCTACGTTTGGATCGTTTGGATATGTTTGGATCATGTAAACTGATGGGATATGACATGAGTATACATGAGTCATATCGAGTAATTGTCTACTCTTCGTTGCTATACTACCAAGCATATCCAAGCATGCTAGTTCATCTAGTTCTCAAACTATCTGAATTGTTTGTCTTCCTTTCTGGTTCTGAAAACATCAACCCGCCAAGCTGTTGGCGATGCCATGCTGCCATGGCACCTTCTCAACGAGATCCAGTTGGATCCGTAGGTCTTCTTCAGCTCGCTGATGCTGATGGCATTCGTCACCACCTTCAGGGTCGCCGGTTTAACCGGCGGCCCCTTCGAAACGTCAAAAAAGGCACCAATCGATTCCTTAAATGGTGACCAAACTGGACACTCAAAAAACAATAAAGAACATCCAGCAAATTCCTATACTATACATATACCATATACCAGTTTATCTTGAAGCCACTAAAACCACGATGGGTGGGACGTTCCGTGCAGTAAAACCTACGAAAGCGATCCGAGGCCACAAAAAAAGCTGCCTTGCCTCCAGCAATCCCCCATCGTGAGTCGTCGCAACGATCAGGAAAGGTTGAAGCCAAAGCTTGGGATTATGCCTGGACACTGGAGACACAACGGACATGTTTTTTGGGGACAAGTTGCGACACATCAAATCAACTTGATATCCCATGATAATCCATGATATATCTTGAAGCCTGAACAATTGCTCCCCTGTACGCAGACTTGTGATTGGTTGGGGTGTGAATGAGTGTCAATGTTCCTGTGGACAGACTGTGACATCTCAAGTGCTATCCAATGAATACATTTCCAGGAGTTCCATAGATGTTCTTCCCATATATATATAATATATAATATATATATATACATATATGCCCACCATGGACTATCCATGATGATCCAACCATGGACATCCCTTGAGACAGGTGCAGCTTTGCAGGCCTTTTGAAGACTCGTTCAAACCATTTGAGAAGGCGAAATGCCAACTCTTCTTGCCTCACATCCTGAGGCCATATGCTGCCATGACACAGGATGGCCACATGGGCTCATGGACCAACTGCATCGCAAGCTTGGAAGCCATAACTCAACATCTAACCAATGGATTCATAATGGGTTCCAAATGATTGATTTCATCTGCTTCATCTTCGTCAACATGTGCGACTTCTCTACAAAACCTGCAACCATGTGCAACAGTCACTTAGGTGGGCACATCCGCATTGCTTTTCACGATCATCGGGATCATGCTCCAGTTCCTCAACTGCGTTCATCACTGCCCCGCGGCCCCGCGGCAGCGCAACGCATCTGATTTCAGGCAGGTGGCGGCCGTCGACCAAACTCGCTCTGAGAACGCACTCGTTGAACCACCTGGAGGGGGTGGCAGTTTACCCTGGAAACAACACGTGAAAGTATTGTGAAAGCATAGTGAACGCATCAAAATAGTGAACATGTCTTGAAAATCAAATTGCTCATGTCTGAATGCCTGGGCTTTCTGCACCCACAGTACATCATAGATCATCATAGTACATTCACCACATACAGTTGCCCAGCACCTCCGGCCACGTTTCATCATGAAACGCACCTTTGGGCCGTGTGTCCCTGACAGCTTAGACACATTTACCAGCCATGATCAGATACCATGCAATCTGAACAGAGCAAGAAATGAAGATCAACATCTCCTAATATTTCTAGATATCTTGAATATTTTCTAGATATCTTGAATTGACGATGCCATTCTGAGGACCCCATATAATTATAATTAATGACACATATGATATCTAAACACGATTTGGAAATTGCATTGCAGTGGGTTTCAGGCCTCACATTCCGTGCGGACGCAGGTGGCGAATCTTCTGGTGGCCAAAACTTTGGCGGAACTGGCATCAGAGTGACGATCAAACCGATTCCCTGACTTGCTCCGGATCAACACGGCTCAAACCATGTGCTCTACAAGGCTGCTGAAATGCTGAAGAAATAATGGCTAAAACATGCTAAAGCACCAAAGACAAAGGAGGAGTCACTTCAGTATACTTCAGTAAATCACCCAGCATGAAACTTGATTGGGTAAATCTGGGATTCTTGTGTGTGTGTGTTATATTCCACATATCCTCGAAGCATTTAGTTGAACGTGACCTTATGTGACAATGACTTCTGAAAGTTGAGACTAGGATAAGACATGATAAGGCCATCCCAACTGAACGATGTATAAGAAAGTCTCGGCCTGCTGCAAAGTGATGGGTTGCTTGAACTGGCCTCAGTGTCGTAGCTCAATGAGCCTCAATAGCCTTAAGGTTTAATATGTTTCAAGCTGTCACTGGATGTTAATGGTAGACCTTTTTATTCAACCATATTCAACCGAACCGGGTCAAGTTCCCCATGGCTGGGATTCAAACGACTTTCTGCTGGCACAGAAGCGCCCAAACAACCTGCCATCCGTCCAACTTGGCAGCAAAATCTGGTCAAATCAACTCAGGTCCCACCCTCGTCTTGCAATAGTCTCTTCCGCCAAAGGTTTGTCTTCCACCTGCAGAGCTCAGGCTACGGTCACGGGTTTATTGGGTAACTAAAACGTTTGTCGCGCTCAACCACCACGGGTGTCCACCAATCCCCAGCAACATGCACTTCTGTGCAGGAGTCGCCTCCATCAACACCATGTAAGGCGCCCTTTGCTTCGATGATAACACCCGTGCCTGCGCCATTTGTTGGGCTTGCACTCAGAACGAAGACTAGAAAAGTGACAAAGGTTGAAACTCTGTCACCAGTCACCAGTTCAGAAATTAAAGCCTTTTCAGAAACATCTGTGCCAATATTCTCTTCTAAAAGCAGTACCCAAATGTCCGCCTCATTTCGGTTCACCCTAAGGATGGATGCAACAGCATCGCTTCGCTTCCTGCGTCCCGTTGCATGGCCCAGCCCAGCCCGATGTCATTTCTTTCATGGAGCTGGGGCCGCTGCTGCGATGATCCATGGGGGGCCAACATCTGTGCAGGCACCTCAACGGATCAATGGACCAAATCTTGATGTCAAGTCATTGGTGTCGATTGGTGTCGATTGGTGTCGATTGGTGTCGATTGGTGTCGATTGGTGTCGATTGGTGTCGATTGGTGTTTGGTGCAGTGTTTTTGAGCTTTCGGCAGGGGTATCATCTTTCAAATACCTGTTGATCTCCTGTCAAACGAGCACCAAGGAATACAGGTTTTTGGCGAGAAAGCTGAGACAGCTGAGCAGCTGCGAGCACTTGTGGCAAGCGTCCTGGTCTATCAGAGCTTGCAGCACGCCTAACCTCAGCTTTCTGCGGACTTCCTCGTAGGGGCACTACCCCCTAATATATGCGCTAAAAAATCCTAGGAAGGATGTGGCAAAGCTATACCATATCAGAATATATCAGAGTTATTCAAGACTCTGTGATGGATGATGAACAAACTCACGGGATTGAGAATTGCCTACTTCGTGATACGAACTACGGCAAGACAAAGGTACAAGCTAGCAGTATGGTTGTTAAAAAAAAAACACATACCAAAACATGGCTCCGATTTTGCTCCTCTGCGTCCCTGACCGTTCTTGCTGGTTTCGAACCTTCACAATCTCTGTACCGATGTAGATCAACCTCATTCACCAAGCAGGCGGCTCCAAATAGGCAAAGGGATTCGAACAAGGCGCTAGGGGCTCATCCCATCTCATCCCCTAAAATATGGTACAATAGGATACAATGGGTCTTGACACATCCCCGTGTTGCCTCCAGTAAAACTCTCCCCCTTTCTGCCGTTGGACATGTTGTGTCATTTAAGTTCTGTCCGCTTTGATGAATGTCTGTTCGCGATTGCTGTACAACTTCAGACTTTCCATGACCACGGTGCGCTTCCTCATTGCAGCCACACGCACATACTTTTTGGTCACACGCATTTGCGTTGGCAACATTTGGCCAGATCATGATCAGATTCTGATCAGATTCTCATCTGATTATGTACATTTTTATACATTTTTCAGATCTTCAGCTCATCCTTTGCTCTTGCTCTTGGCCTCAATCCCCCAAAGAAAAAAAACACCCTGGAGCCGCCAAGCAGATCTGCTTGGCACACTGAGGAGCCGACAGCTGAGCCTTTGATGTTTTGGGTGAGGAAATTGCGCATCCAGACGTCTTCATTCTCACCGTGATCGACGCCTTCGTCCAGGACCTAAGGCTCGAAGGCTCGAAGTTCTGACGTATCGATGGAGGTGGACTCTGCCTATAAAGATGCCAGATTTTAATGGCAAGTATGCATTCCTCTCCACAGGGTAAAACTGATAAAACCATACTTGGAGGTTACTTGAAGGTAGCTGCCTAGTATGAACAGCTGGTCCGTATGAAACAGGACCCCAACACCATTCAAGAGCTAAGACACGATGCGGATATCTGCCTTCGCATCTTGCAAACGGCAGTACGTGGCCTGCATGGCGAATCATGGCGAACCAGCCATGCCGCTGTGCAAATGGCATATCAATACATGCATACAGTACCCATAAGATCCATGTATGCTATATATGGTAACATGGATCCCATCAATATACCCCCAATGTTAGCATATATATACCATACATGGATCCTATGGGGTATTGTATACATGTTGATATAGACAGAATGGTTTATATAACCTCTATATACCAAGCCTTTGCGCTCAGAGAAAAACACCGGAGCACACATCGTTTTGATACCTGTCAGATCCTGTCAGATATGACTCGTTTGATTCACATGCTGATCTTAAGGGCACCAGCCTTGACCCACTCGTGCCACTTCATGGTACTGTCCTCCAGCCCGTTGTACCTTGGTAGTGGAACTGAAGGTGGGCTGACAGCAACGATTTGAAGAAAATCTATAGTCATAGTCCCTCCAGCTGCTGTAATTCTGGCCAACCTAACTTTATCCTGAATAATTATGAATAATTACTACTGGTGGCCCTTCAGCCAAATCCCACAACTTCAGCACATTGATCAAACAGAGCCCGCTTGATCCAAAGTTGCACAAAGATGGGTATCTTCTTCGCAATCCAATTTTCTTTGATCGGTGTGCAGCTTAAGAGATGACCCATGGTGCCTTGGCGCGGGCTTTGGAAATTGTAGTCTGGCAATGTCTACTTGTGGATCTTTGGCGCACAGGTTTGTGGGTGGTGCCTTCTTGTATTTTTTTTAAACGAAGATTGAGCTGTGCATGTCACCTGTTACAATTGGTTACATACGTAAAATGATTTCTCATATTGGATGATCGAGTGCACTGTGATGGCACTTCTTATGCCGATTGGGTGACACAAGATACAAGCAACGCGGACGGGAAATGCTCAAACTCAACCTTTGGCAGATGGCATTAATTATATTATATATATATGTATACAAATCTCTACGATATGTTCAGAATCGGCCTACATCAACAATTGAACAGCCCTATGCCAGACGTTGCCAGACATTTCACACGAACCAGTCACACCCAGTCACACCAAGTGGCCAATCACACCACCCAGCTCTCCTTCATAGGTCAACGCCGCATGTAAAGCAGTGCCACAGCCTTGAGAAGCGCCTCCCAGAAAGACATTCTTTCCACCCACCTCAGCATGACGAATAGCGGCGACCGGCGACCGGGCTGCCGGCCTCCATCTTTCAGAATCTTTCAGTTGCGAATTCAACTTTGACCCTACGAAATCAGCTTCTGAACATCTCAAGTGATGAATTATCATGAATTATCATGAATTATGTAGGGTTAATCACAATAATCTGATGTCCAACCCTTGGGAACTTGCCGCACTTATACCCCAAGTACCGCACATCCCACAGCTGCAGCCGTTTCACGAGAGCAGCTTCGGCATCCAGCAGGGTGTGGATCCGTGCCGTCGTTTCTTGGAGATCTTCCATGCTCAACTCATCCTCCTGGTCGCCCTCGTGGTCTGTGATGTAGTCGTGCCAGGCATGCAACACTTCACCCTGAAATCAGGGTGAAAGGAACAGGATGTCAGAATAATTATACTATCCATATGACAATATATTATCCCGGTCCAGGTACTATCCATATACTATCCATATACTACAGCGGAACCGTTAGAAAAGAACCGAATAAGAATTCTCCAGCCTACCCTGGGGTTCTTAAATCAAGTTCTCAAGCGGTAACCATAACTACGAAGTACCCCTGGGAAAGGCAAGAACCAACGGCCGCAAATCCAGCGTACTCTAGGGTTCTAATTTCAAGCCAGCAAATAGGGGTGAATCCAGCAATCCAGCCCCTGAAGTTCTTGATGTGGGTTCCCAATGCATCTCATCTACCTGTCCTATCCTGTCCTTGTAGCAAGTAATTGGTCTCTTCGGAGCTGTTGGGAACACCACCTGGTATCAATGGCCACCGGCCACAGGTCAGGCAAGAACGGTGATCTATGGTGATCTGGTCGTCCCTAAAAATGCTCCCCTTTGTTGAAAGCATGTTCAATGCGCTGAAAATGTGGCATTTGTGGCCCAAGGCCCATCACCGGTTGGGGACGTGCCCAGGAGTTTCCATGATCTCGGCAATGCTCGGCACCTTCAGACCTGGGAAGGGCTCCAACTCTTCTTCTTCCTGGCCACCATCTTGGCAGCTGGCATGAGCCGGACTAGATGCTGAGATGATGCTGAGGCTGCTGAGGTGTTTGAAGAGCTTTCAGGAATCTTACGAATCCTAGGTGCCAAACAAACCATTCAGATCCAACATGTTCCATCATGTTCCAACTATTTACCAGCTCCATCCCGTGCAGAGCCTCCTCGTCCTTGCTAGCCTTGCCTTTCGCCTAAAGCCAAAGTCTTGGAAAAACTGGCCGGGAATGGACGCTGTTTCAGGACATGCTTTGCGGCCCCTCCAGGGAGATCTGAGACTCTTGATGCATCCCAACAAAAAGCCACCAGTGGCGGAGCGTGCTGACCTTCTTCTTCTTGGGCTTGGGTCGATAGACATAGTGCGGCTCTTTTAAATAGTCATAGCCCGAACATGTAAATCCTTGGTTGGGCGAGCCTGGGGCGACACATATGCTGATCAGAAAGTGGAACAAACTCTTGCAGCTGAGCTTCCATGAAGGTAGACCAGGCTTCGTGTGTGATCTGAGTCAGCCAACTTAGGATCTGAAAGTAGCTGATACCGTTGAACATCGTCAAAGGTCCAGTACAATGTAGTACATTGATGTACATTGATAATCAGTGTTCAAGTTCTGCAGATTCATTTGAGACAAAGTATTGTATTGTCGATCAAAGCACAATACCACACTACCACCACTTGCACAGAAAACCTAAGTGAAAATTGCTTCTGATTTGGTCATATTTAGTCTATTTTGGCGTAATTGCTCTGAACCCCCAAATCCATCCAGAATCCAAATTCCATCCAAATCCCATGTTTTGAGACAAGGAGCTGTCTGGCGGATACATCACTTGCTCCGTGGCCGACAAGTTGATCCAGTCCCTGTTGCACGTTACAGCGCAGGGCGTAGGGCGGGTGATTGCTGTGTGTTGGGAACTGTATCCGGGAAGGATCCGCGAAGAAACTTGGGCATTCAAGGTGTATGTGTGTAATTATGCACAAAAAGACCAGCACAAACCAATACTATTACCAACACCATACCAAACAGGTGGCTTGTTGTAGCAAGAACGGCAACAGTACCATCAAGCGAACATGTTTGAGTTTTTTATTGCAGAATAGTTATTGTTCACTCTGACTCCTGCTAGGAATTTGACAGCATGCCGCATGCCTTCGAGACAGAACCCTTGAAGAGCAGGAAGAGCAGAAACCCACAAAATGACATGGCAAAAACCCACCAGCCTCTCCAAGCAGGCTTGTAGCGATCGCTCTGGAGAACCGTTTGAGCCACTCCAGGATTCAAAGAACCAGCCCCTTTCTGCGGCCTAAGGAGACTTTCAACAGTTGCCATCTACAATCAAAGGATGAAGCAACACCCTAGAATGTCACATTGACATGGGCAGGGTCTGTATAGAACCATGCCATAATGATGGCTACTGCATCCACAAACCGTAGAAAATCGTAGAAAACCTCATCCGCGGGGTGTACCACGCGTACCGGAACCTCCTGGCGATGCTTCAAAGCCTTGGCCAAGAGACCTCCATTGATGCGAGCATTCGCTGCGCAAACTCCTGGATGGTCCTCAGCTGTGAGTTAGATCCGGACTCCTGTGATCTGTGAAGCATCTTCAAACCTGGGACATTAACCAACCATTATAATGATATATAATGATATATAATGATATATAAGTATTGGGTAGTATAACCAGACTCTTATGATCTTCAAGATGGGTCAAGTGTGATCTTCGTCGCATTTGGAAAGAAACAAAACATGTGGAACTTTTCTGGCTGCTTCTTCATCATGGCGAAACATGTGGAGGAAGCTCGTGGCAAAATTGGTTCGGCCTTTCCCCATGAAACAGTTCATCCAAGAAGCCGAATCTCAGCCTTCTGGAAGGAACCTTGGTTGAGTGGATCCCAATCCAACTAGAAAATGACCTCAACATCAGCAATGACAGGAATCATACTTGAGAATGTAGCAAACTCATCCATGATAAACACAAATTGCAGGATCTTGGTAAACACAAACTGCAGAATTATGCGTTCAAACGAGAAACTTCTCAACTACTAGTGCTACTTGTTTCCCCCACTATTTTCCAAACATTTCCAAACGGAAGTCACCCTCTCCCCTGAATTTCCTAAGCCATACACATTCCCAACAGATCCCCACCTGCCCTGCCATCAACGTCATGGAACCTGGAAGGGCCAAGCTCCAGCTGCAGACCAAATCCAGATGCTCATGTTCCTCCGAACGACTGAATGGTGGCATTCTATGGCTATCCGGGGGAGGGATGAAACCTGAAAGTACATTTCAGTACTGGGGATGAACATCCACACAGGCATCATAGATCCTTGCTGCCCTTGCTAATCTGGCTATTATTTGGATGTGAACCAATGTACCAGGGTTTTGACCCATAGACTATGTTATATGATGTTATATGAAGCTAAAACGTTGCCAAAAACCATCGAAGGTATGGTATGGCCCATAGGGCCAGGAGTCGGATTGGCTGACGCTGAATAGTGGCCGCGCTTGACATCATTAGAGCTGTCGCAGTGAGGTCAACAACAACAATACATGATAGGAACATGCGACCTAAGGCAAGATCAGACTTCAACACATCAACGGTGCTGCAGCCGTGTTAAACAATTTTGATGAACAGCGGTCCATGGGAGCTGGAAATGATCCTGGGTGACCCCCAAAGCCGCCTGGCTCAAAAGAGAAGCTGCATCCAAGACCATCTGTGCCGTGTCTGGCTTCTCCTTAGTGTCCAAGTGTTCACGGTACACCGCTGGAAAGCATAATGAATGGTTTTTCTGTGAACAACCATGATGACATGGAATAATGAAACATGTTTCCAGAATGGAAATAACCATGTTTCCTCCCTGACCATATCATGTTGACACTGGCAATATAATATGGCTTCAAGTTGGTCTTCATCACCTGGACCTTCCCAGTGTGACAAATTCTTGACCTGACTATGTGCAGATTCCATGACCTATTCTTAGGCTTCATTGCAGTTCGCTGCTCGCTCCCTTTTTTCGGTCAAGCACACAAAGGTGCACATGACTTGTAGGAGAAGCTACAAGTCCCTTTCAAGTTTGATGATTCCCTTTGGAATTCACAGCCCATTGGCTCCACATCAGAAACCCTCTGGCTCCAACTCAAACGGCCAATTGGCCATGAAAGCACGAGAGGCACGTGCAAGACAAGGATGTGGCAAGAGGCATGCCCATCAAACAAAGAAAAGAAGGGGGCTTCTTCCAAGCTCCCAGCGCTGAGCGTCACGGGAGTGGATGGGGGGGAAGCCAAATGCTGCAGCGATGACGACCTCAAATCAGCCTATTATTCGAGTGAATTCGAACACATAGGCTTCATTGCAGTTCGCTGCTCGCTCCCTTTTTTCGGTCAAGCACACAAAGGTGCACATGACTTGTAGGAGAAGCTACAAGTCCCTTTCAAGTTTGATGATTCCCTTTGGAATTCACAGCCCATTGGCTCCACATCAGAAACCCTCTGGCTCCAACTCAAACGGCCAATTGGCCATGAAAGCACGAGAGGCACGTGCAAGACAAGGATGTGGCAAGAGGCATGCCCATCAAACAAAGAAAAGAAGGGGGCTTCTTCCACGACCCCTTACATGCGGCGTGCCGCGTTAAGCCAGAAGGTTTTCAGGTAAACCTTGATTAAATTTAGCCACCAAGCAGCGGGCGCGCGGACACATTTTGATCTGGCTCAGTTGAGCCTGCCCATCTTCTAGGTAGATGCGGGCAACAGATAGAGATCTCCAGCGACCTCTGATGATCACACGGTCCAGCGCCATGGAAGTAGCGAAGGCGTGCGTGGCTCCTCCCCGACGGATGCTGTAGGGTTGAAAGGACAAGGGACCTAAATGCAGGGATTCGAGGGCCTCATAGAAGCGTTTCCGAAAGAGTGATCCGCTTCCGGTCCAAATGGGATGATGGGGTTGAGTATGGCCGGCAAGGACACACAACTCCCAAAGGCGCGGCAGGCTGCGATCATGCAGCGCCACGCTTTCATCCATATTGAACCTCAACCCGCTTTTGCTCTTCCGAACCACCACGGCGCCATGCCCTCGCGAGAAGTTGATGTCCTCATTGGTGAGCTTCAAGAGTTCGCCCGTGCGCAAGAAGGCGTGGAAACCGAGAGCCACTAAAAAAGCCATAGCGACAGCCTCTTGTTCCAAGAAAAACCCCACAATGGCACGGCAAACTTCGCGGGGCAACGGGGGTGCACGTTGTGGGAGCTCGATACGTCGCCAATTTTTATAGAGCTTCCAGCTCCCCTTCAAAAGTCCTTTCACCTGTGGCCAAAAGTAATGCACCCCACAAAGGGCATCCCCGATGGTTCCAAGAGGTGTGCCCAGCTGCCAACGATGTTCCACCCATTCTTCACAGAGAGGATCAAGGTCATCCAAGGAGCCCGCCTGTTCCAACACAGGGATAAGTTGCGCCATTGCAGCCCGATACCGCATCTCAGTCCTGAGACTGATGCCTAGGCCACGCAACGAGACGCCCTGCCGCGCGGCTGATCGCTCAGCCAGCGACCTCCCCCGTCGGATGGGCTTACGCCCGACTTGCGGCATCGGTCGGGTTCTCTATGGAGTCTACATGACCCTGAAGTTGCACCGAATTCAGAGCCAAAAGGTGGGCTGCGATTTCACGGGTCAGAGGTTGGAGCAGCTTGCTGGAGGTGCGCCCCTTACTAAGTATATAATTACACACCATGCTATCAGCTAAATGAAGCCACCGGCACCCAACAGATGAGCTTTTCCGGCTTCTCCATTTGATTGCTTGTAGAATGACCCGCATTTCCAAGTAATTTATGTGGCTCTCAAATTTCCAACGAGAAGTAAAGAGGATCCTCCAATCCCACCAGGCGGCCCTGATGCTAGCATGATTACCTGATTTAGAAGAAAATGGGATCCCCATTGCCACCGAGACGTCCGACCCGGTGTGATTGACATGCCGAGATAAGTGGGCAACCAGACGGCTCGAGCTTTGAAGGCTCGAGGTCAGGCCACCATATCTGGGTCGTTGAGCGAGCGGCGCAGGCACGTCTGCGGCCAGCCCGCACCCAGAAGCGAGCCCAAAGCGATCCACCAGTTGCTGGGGCGATCTTGGCGTCACCCATTTCCGGCACAACTGTGATATGATCCAGCCAAAAGGAAAGCATCGAGAAGGAATCCCCGCACAAGGACAGGCGTTTATCTTCGAATTCAGTTTCGTTACCCTTGACCTCATTTGCGGCGACAGCAAATAGAGTATGGTCCTTTCCAAATCCAAGGAGTAACTCTCGCTCGGCAGCGCTTAAATAGCGCACATCGCCAGAAGCATTTCGGACCAGGTTCTCCAGCCGATATTGATAGGGAGGGAACCGGTATTCGTCTGAGACCCAGCGCGCCAGGGTATCGCTGTCGCACCTACTAATGCCTGCCGGCGTAGGCGGTGGCTGGCGGCGCCGAATGGCCTTCATGAAAGTGGCAAAGGCGGTGCCTGGCCGACAGATTTCCCAGCCTGGGCTGAGCCAACTCTCGCTGGCTGGCGGAGTGCCGTGCATTAGCACCACGGTGTGCCCGGATTGTGGCAGTAGGTCTGCCCCCACGGTCTCTTCAATGGTTCCGGAGCACCACGCCAACCTAGGTCGGTTGTATGGCAAGAAATCCGATGGGCAGAGCGCAAATGGCTCTACGCCCAGGACTCGTGAGATTTCATCTCGCGCTGATACATCCATCGACCTGACGTTCTCCACCAAAAAGGTCACCTTGGCGAAATCCTGGAACGCCGCTCTGGTCCACTCTATGAGTTTAACCAGGTTCCAGAACAGGCGGCTTCCCTCGCCTTCCAGGTTCTTCCGCCCTGCCCTTGCCGATGAGAGATGCACGCAAGGGAAACCTCCAACAATGTGAACTTCCACGACTCGTGGATACCTGTTTGCCCAGCCAGCGACCATCGCCCGGTCCACCAGGAGAATATCGCTGATTTCTTCGGCATGGGGCCATGCTTTCCGGGTGACTCGGCGCGCAGCTTTGTCACATTCTATGGTAATGAGCCCTGCAGGGCGGATGCCCGCTAGGTCATACCCTCGGAAAGCGCCGCCGATGCCGTTGAAGGCACTAATAACTAGGAGCTGGGCGTCGACCGGTTCGAAAGCTGGCTCGCTAAGGCGACTGCACAGGTCAAGTCCCGTGCTAGACAGCGACTGGGACACGCCCACGGCACCGCCCCAGCCAGACGCGTCCGAAACAGTCACTTCCTCATTGAAGGAGCAGCGCAGATCTGTGTGCAACAGAGGGACCAAGGCAATTAAGGTGGAAAGTTCTGCCTGCACCACCGGCCACCACCGCCTCTTATCCTGGTCCTTCTTGAGGAAGTTCCAGCACCTTGACAGAACGGCCATGGCAGGTCGCCGGTACTGTAGTGCAAAAATCCATCGCCCCAAGATCACCTGGACCCATTTGGCCTTCGGTTGCCTCTCCCCCAGCAAGAGGATAGTTGCAACCAGCAGTTTATGGATACGCTCTGGGCCGCATCCTACCAGCCCTGCCACGCCGTTCAGTTCGACTCCAAGCTCAATGGCCGCAGGCGCCGCGAGGACATGTTTCTCCTCAGCGCACAGAACGCCGTGTTGGGTCCAAGAGCCCACGGCTTCCCTATGCAACTGGTGGGAACCCCCACTCGGTTGCCCCAGGGGCGACAGCTCTGCCGTCATAAAATTGTCCAGATATACTTGCCAGAATTGCTTGGAGCTGTCCCTCAGCAGAGGATCTACAAACCATGGTGGCGATCGCAGCTGATTCCGCAATTCGTCACACCCCAGTGTGTTGGCGCGGGCCATGAGTTCTCTGCTTGCCATTTGCATTAGGCCAACTGAGCTTGACCAGCCCATTGGAAGCACTTTGCAACACGGAACAAAGGTACCGGACCCCGGACGTCCCAGCGCAGAGCCCCCAAACTTGGCATTAAAACAGAGAAATGGCCACCAACATTCAGGCAAGGCAAACAGATAGAAAGCTGAAGACATATCTGCCTGGGAGATGGACAGACAATCGCCGTCTTCCAACACGAGCTGTAGCCACTTACCAGCGCTAGGCAATTCAGCGATATCGCCTTGAATGATGCTAAGCGCACGGTTAATTGGCTTGAGGTTCATGATAACTCGCAACAGAGGAAGGCCTTCCTCTGTAAAGCGGCCACTCTTGGGGACCCCAAAAAGACCTGATAAGTAGGGTCCCCCTTGATCCTGGTGGACTTTTCCAATGGGGAGCCATGTGATGATTCCCCGCTCCTCCAGCAGCTTCCAGACACCAAGCTCTTCCCCTTTCTTGATGTGAACACGTCCGACATTCGGGCCCGGGGTCTTTTCATCCGGTGACAAAAGAACTTGTTCGGGGTTTTCCACTAAAAACCGGCTTCTTCCTACCAGCAAAGGGGCAAGTTCAACTGACCCTCCATGACCAACCGGGGGAAGGCTCTTCTCGATTTGAGGTAAGGTTAGTTCCATCGGTTCAGCGAACTCTTCACCATCATAGGACAGCTTTTTACTTTTAAGCTCAGCCCAAACACAAACAGGGTCAACAACAGAGGGGGAAAACAAACCCAAAAACCGCCTAACCCTATCACGCAGGGTTTCAAGAACATGCTTTATCTGGGCACCCTTCCGCTCGGTCGGCGGCTTCTTTTTCCAACCCGCAAGCTGGTTGAGTCCAAGGCACAACAAGTTGAGCCACGCCTCTACAGCACAGCCCTGGTTTTCATTTGACTTGGCTGTGCTATCTGGAAAAAAGACCGGCAGCGGAAAGATTCCACAACGTCCTGAAAGTACGTCATGAGACGTGGTGTGCTTGACCAAAAGGAATAATTCATTCATTCCTAGAGGGACATTGTCTGAAATCGCTCCCGCCGCCAGTGCTAGTCCAAGTTCGCCCGGCTCGGCAAACCTAGCCCACTCAACGTTTCGAGGCAGGCGGCTCGGAACTTCAAATGTTCCAGCGCCAAGCGGAGGGGCTGGCGCGACGTGCGCTTCCCCCCCTTCGGGAGAAATCTCGGGATTGGCCTCTTCCTGTAACAAGGCTAATCCCAAGTAGTAACTTGCAAGGCGGCCACTCAAGGCTGCATCATCCCAGCCTTCCACCTCCCCAAGGTCCGACAGGCCAGCGGCGCCACAGCGCATCGCCGACCCCGATGATTCCCCGCACGGGATGTCTTCGCACCCCAGCGCGGACCTTGACGAAGAGGGAAGGCAACTCTCCTTAACCAATGTCATTTGGGGGCTCCTCCCCCTCCTCCTCCTGCGTCTGGCTTGTCCTTTGGCGTCTCCTTCCATGCGTTCTTGTTGGAGTTCTTCCCGAACTTTCCTTTTCCTTGCCCCCGGCGATCTCCCTTTCCTTTTCCGCTTCCCCCCTTCTCTCCTCCTCCGCCTTCGCGGTTGGGGGGAGCGTAGGGAGTCGTCCTCCTCCATTGATTCTTCCCCAGCGACTTCTCCACCTGCCGGGTATGGCGTTGCGCCTGAAGCATCACCGCTGGCGGTGCTAGTCCTGCATGTCGGACTGGCACCACCTCCAGATGCTGCGCATCCTGCCAATTGTTTGTGATGGCAGCTGACTCGACGGCTAGGAACCTTCCAGCCAGAGCGTCTCCCAGCTCCGCCAGTCTGCCACACTTCAGGTGGTCGATGCAGCGGGCTAAGGTCTCTAGCTCTCTCAGATCGCGCACCTTCCCTCCCAGCAGAGGTTTGGCGCAAATCTGAAAATAGCTGCTCAGCTGGTTGGCCTTTCCCCGAAGTTGCCCGGAGTCCCCTGCCGTATCCACCGCTGCCTCGGCGAGGGCCTCGGCCACGTTGGTCAGCAGCATCCTTAGCACGGAGCCGGGGTCCTTGTTGGCCTTCCGTTGAAGCGGTGGCACCAGGCTTGAAGATGAAGAAGTCGCTCCGTCTGAAGAGCTGCTCCGAGAGTCGCGACGCCTGCGTGACCCCGATCTCCTCTTCTTCTTCTTCTTCTTTTTCGGTTCCCTGCTCCGTGACCGCTGGCGTGAGGAAGAGGCGGCTCCTCCTCCCCCGCCTTGGGCTCTCAGCGCAACGGCCTCGGCCAGCGCTTCCCCCATCGAGGTTCTCTTCTTCCGGCTCCGCGGTGGCTCCCCGTCGGAGTCGCTTGGGATGGCGATTACCGCACTCGCTCTCGCCTCGCTCTTCACCGCGCTCCTGGGCTCGATGGCTAAAGGGGCCGGAGCGAAGCGCACCCGATTCGCCCCGCGTGCTGCTATTTCGCCGCTCTCCTCGGCGGCCGCAAGGGGGCGGCCCGCTTGCAGTCGCTTCCGCAACGCTGAAATGCGGTCCACCGCATCGCCCTCACGCGGCCCTCCTTGGGGAGCCCCAGCGCCCTCGGCGCCTGGCGGGGCCCCTTGTCCACTGAGCTCCTGGTATAGCTTCGCCCACTCTCGTCTCTTGGCCTTCTCCACGCATTCGGGGGGTGGATGCCCCGGCGGGTAAACGCCAAAGAGTTCGACGTGGTAGGCTTTGCCCTCTGTCTCGCTGCAAGCGTCGACACCCCCACAGCACAGATGAAGGTCCCTCCGCTCTCGCGAAAAGACCTTTATGCCCTCTGCACGGGCCCAGGCCGGCTCCCCTCCAAGGAACCTGACCTTGACCCAGCACCCTGGCATCAGATACTTCACCTCTTGTACAAATAGGATGATGCAGCCAGGCTGTTGCACCCCATCTTCTTCCTGGGCTACCGGGACATCCAGTATGCAACCAGGCCGCACTGGGCGTGCAGTCCAGAAATCCCCAGGTTCCAAGAGGCTGACCAGCCCGGCCGCGCCTGCCTCGGCCGCAGCTGGGTGGTTGGCGCCCTCGGCGCCCACCCCCGGAGGGTCGGGGCCTTCGCCCTCTTTTCCAGGAAGAGCATCGTTGCCCTCCCCCCATGTCTCCTCAACGTCACTCATTGATGACTACGGCCTCCACGCGGCCCCTTCTTCTTCCTTTTCCTCTCGGCCCCCTCGGGCCGGCCAAACACACTGTGGGGATCTTGCAAGGCGCGATAGCCTTGCTTGTGACGGGTTCCTCCCCGTCTTCCTCGGTTCCGGCTCCTGGAACGGGCTCTCTCCTCCCTCCGCGCAGGGCTGCGCCGGGGCGGATGCGCCGGTTCCGGGGGTGGCTCGTGCCCAGCGGGACGATCTGCAGGGCGCTTATCCACCGGCTCGGCAACCGTATCCTCTGCCTCAACCTCTTCTTCCTCACTGTACTCCTCAAAGGACTCCTCCTCGCCGAAGTCCGGCTCTTCGTCCTTCACTGGTCCTCTCTCTCGACCACCCTCTGCTTCCCTTTCAGCCGCACGGCGGGGCTCAGGCCGTTTGCCAGCGCTCTTAGGGGTAGCAGTATTAGCGACGGCCTCAACTTCCTCCAGGCGTCTTTTCGAATTGGCCAACCTGTCACTGAGCGAAGTTACCTGGGAGTTCGTCTGCTTGTCCAGCTCGATCACACCTTGCACCTGGCGGACCGCCTGGTAGGCTACCTCCTCGGCTAGTGCGCGGTGACTTGCGAAGTGGAACCGGACACGGGCCAATTCACTCAGCGTTGAGCCGCACGAGCAAAGCTGGCACCAGCGGTTCCCCTCAAAGCAAAGTCCCGACCGGCACTTTTGGCAGACCAACCCGCCAGGGCCTGCTGGCATAACGGCCCCCTTGAAGCCAAATGCTGCAGCGATGACGACCTCAAATCAGCCTATTATTCGAGTGAATTCGAACACATTTGGTAAACTTCCATGGAACTGGGAAAGCACTTCTTTCAGTAAGTACAATCCTATCATATCCTATCTTCAATCATCTTGAAATACAGCTTGAAGTGGTCTAAATGGATCTAAACGGTAACTTTTCCTTTGCCAAAGCGTCGGGACATTCGATGTGGGCTGGAGCTTCCATCATCACATGGCCATCTGCTAGCCACAAGGGCAATGCTTCAGCATCAGTGGAAACATCACCTGGGATCTATCGGATGTATCATTGGATGGATCAATCGTGGTCACTTCACCTAGGGATCTAGGGATGATGAACACTGGCCATGGCTGTGGATCGTGTCAGCTGGCACTTTGCATCCCAGGAAAACCTGTTTGTACTCCCAGGCCATGTTTCAAAACTCCCAGGGAGGCCTCCCGCAATTCCTGTAACTTCCCATTGTGCCACAGTCTGTTGATGCAAAATTAGGCCAAACGGATATGGGTCAAGAAAATAGCCTCAGGGAATCCCATTTGTTGGCCATTGTAGTATATAATAAAGTACAAAATTCAATGCTGGAGTCCCCCAATTTCGAGCCACAAGCCTTGAAGTCAAGCATATTTAACGTTGTGAAGGACAACTCTTAGCTGAACAAATCTATTAAGTCCTATTGAACGGTATTTCTACTGAACCTCCTGCCGTCATAGTCACTCCTGTACAGCATTTCCTGACACTCATCGACTTTTCCTTCCGGTAGCTGCAAGAAGCAAGCGCAACGGTCCTGCCAGCTGGCACTGGAAAAACATGGAGTTCCCCGGCTTTCACCAACTCTGGAGTTTTGGACACCATTTCCAGGCTGGATCAAGTCATTGAGTAATAATATGTTATAATTTAATATAATTTAATATAATCTAGCCCTAATTATTTGATCTCATGACTTATATGACTTGTGACTTGTTCAATCTCCTGCTTCATGATGATTCATGAGGCTTCCATCCACGTTGCCGCGTTGCCTACCCGAGCTTCCAGGAACATTTGCGGGGCCTGTGTGAGGCCACCCTGTCGAAGAGCCGCCATGAGACCAGTGGCTCGGGAAAGATCCTGAATCCTGGGCATAGCCACGCCTCTAACCTCAAATAACTCAGAGCCAGATGCTGAAGCTCAGTTCCCAGCACATGATTTTGGCATTGATGGGAACTTGTACGGAACTTGCACGGACTGATTGTTTTCGCTACATGGACTTCCCTGTTTCATCCCTATTGCATTCCCATGTTTTGTCAAAATTATTTTCAGCCATGGCTGTCCTTCCAGCTTGAAACATTCTTCATGGAGAACCAGAAGGTCACAGCCCAGGCAGTGGCAATATCTCAATGCCAAGTGACGCACTTCATCAGACTCACCGAGCGCGCTAGAGATCTGAGCCAGTCTTCATAAACCTTTCCTTGGAGAGTTATGGAAACTCAGCACAGGGTCAGGGTCCTTTGTCGGACCATTCAGTTGGAGAAGTCGCGCGGAAGGGTTTCTTGAAATACTTTCAGGCCGTACCTAGGCCTGCATAAATCAACATAGAGAGCTGGAATCATTGTACTCAGTTTTGTTGCCTTTAACAAGTTTCCCAACAATCAACCTGTACATTGTGCTGGCAATCAGCAGGAATGAGCTCACGAACACCGAAGTCCAACACAATTGAAAAACCACTGTCCAAACACTTCAAATCTACAGTAAGTCACAAGTTGGAGGTGTTCAAAACTGGAGGTTTGTGTGGCGGGGCGACATTGCAAACACAACGATCCACCACTTTAAAACAAGCATCATTCAAACCGTAGTATATAATATTCACAACATGAATTCACAAAGAGTCTAAACTTGCCAAGAATCCAGGAACTGCAGGTAATTCCAGAACCACCTGGAGATTCAATGCTTCTGCCTTCAGAAGGAATTCGCCAGCTGTGCTGTCAAACTTTTCAGCGCAGCCAGACCAATCTGGAAGAAGGAGCCGAATGGCATCCAAGCCACCAGCCTCAGCAAAAAGCAAGAGGATGCGAACCAAAACAAGTCGTGCTGTCAGCGTGCTGTATTCCAACTCATAATCTTCCAAGTCTGGCCAAAGAATACTAATATCATGAATTCAAACATGTTCTTTGTCATGAAGGTAGCGCCTCTGAAATTAGAACTTTTGATCTCTTCTTCTGAATCCTTGTTCACTTTCTTTACCTTCACCAAATACAGCCTGACACCAACATCACCAACATGTTGACCATCTAATCCAGACAAGGTGCCCCAAAAGCACCGGGAACACGAGAAATGCTCTCCAGCACTGGGGAGCCCTCCATCTCTGAAGCCAACGAGCATCGGACTCCACGGAAAGGTTCATCTGCATGGAACATCCCGTGGAATGCTTTCAGAAGTTGTCTCATGTCATCCACAGCATCATCGGATGAGCCTGGATAGTCATCTCCAAAAGGATCCTGTTCATCTGCTTCATCTTCATCTTCATCTCCATCTTCGCCATCATCCTCACCCTCCTCTTCCTCTCCCTCCTCATTGGAATCCATTTGATCTGCCACCGTGTTGGCAGCATGCCATGCAACAGCCCAAAGGAAGTCCACGATGCGTTCAAAAAGCGCATGTGCCAACGTTCCGTGAAGATTTTCCAGCTCACTGCGAGCTGCTTCAAATTTCTGGTAGGGTTCACGCGCTGGTTTCTGGAGCTCGATGGTGTTTTTCCCATCCTTAACACAGAATAAAGTCTCAAACACATGTCAGCAATTGGTGTTAAGGACTTCTAATAAGGCCTTATATCTCCTTATATCATATCCACAGGAAGCCAACTCCCTCTCTCTTCTAGTACGCTAGCAACATATGATCAGCATCACAGCATTCAGCCCCCTAAAACCCCATTTGCTGAAGCACAAGCTATGCATGACCCAGCCACATTGAGCGGTCCAGATCAGAACTTCTAACTTGTTGTTTGGGTTTCATACAGTACCCCAACAGAACTGCTTCAGAAAACAATTCTGAGCTCTATAGTTGATGATTAGTTGATCTAAGTCCGAAAAGTCAACTTTCACAACAACAATTGTTGCAAGAGCTAGACATTCCGTCGTAGACGATCAACGAGACATCATGGGATCTACACAGTTCGGGGAAGCTGCGAAGCCATCATGAAAAACGGGCCAACCATCCCAAAGTGGATCACGGGTCCAATAAAATGATCCATGTGAAACTCCACTTTTAGGAGTAAACCATTCCACTTTGGGGCTCTCACATACTATCACATACTCGACCCGTATGGCCCGTATACTAGCCCATACCCATCGAAAATTCCTTTCCAGGCATCTTTCTCCTCATAGATCCGCATCAACGCGCAGTGCTCCGCAGCACTTTGCACCAAAGTCCTCACGTTTTCCACCACTAGTCGACCGCGCTGGCCTCCCCTTGGCCCGCTGGCCCATGGCATAGCCTGGGAACGACTTTGGGAGGCAAGAGAAAAGTATAGAACAGTACCAAAAAATAATCTTAAAGAATCTTAAAGATTTGAACATATTTGAAGCTCTGGTACATGAAGCAAAACAAATCTACAAAGCATAGTAACATCAGTAACATTTAGTAACTCTGAATATCCATTGAGTAAGCGTCTTGTTGAAAGACTGCTTCCTTTCATTGGCTCCTCTTCTCAGTAGCCACCACCATTCCCATCTTGAGAGCAAGCCATCTATACATGGTCAGCACCAGCTGAATCCGACAATTATAGAATTTCCCCGCATTTGTTGGCTCATGGATAGTGTCATTGGGATAGGTCAGCATTTTTCATGCAACTCTCGTTGTCATATCTTTTTCTCCACAGATATCATACAATTGTTTTTGGATCCCCATCATCATATATATATATATATATATATATTATCATCATTTTAATCCATTTTCACACATTTTAAAGGGATATCAACAGATATCAACAGATACACTTCAGGGATAGCCTCCTCCCCAAGGCATCCAAGGCACCACGACGTTCCACGTCTCCAGGGCCTCTTTGGCCAACTCCCCGTGGCGCCGCTGCCGCGGCGCCAGGGCCGTCTGCAGCTCGCCCGGCGGCAGCGTGCTGAGTGCCACGGACCAGCTCCGGTGCCAGGCGAAGCGCAGCAAGGCGCGGGCCACGTCGAAGGGCATCCGGGGCATGGAGCCCTCCTGGAAGATGGAAAAGGACAATTTGTTATAGTTTAATTATGATTAATTATAACTAATTATATCTGTTTATATCTGTTTGTATACTGTTTCTATCACCGTATATCGTCGAAAATTGGGGGTTACAAGGGGTTGACATTGGAAAGTGTTACCCCAAAAGATGGGAATATAGAAAGCATCCAGCTTTTCAAGTGGATTTGTTTGCCAAGGGGGAACAAAAACAGCAACTCTTCCGGGAAATGAAGTGGTGGACAACAACCTAGTAGCTTCACTGCATGGTTCCAACTTCTAGAGTCTTTTGCTTTGTTGAACGTGACCCTCGAAATATTGCAACCACTCACCTCATCCTCCACATATCGATCATGTGCCGGAGCGGACGTCATCGCGCAGAAAAGCAAACAAAGCTCACAAAATGCTTTGTCAGCCTCTTGCACAATTTGTCAACCCAGTTGCACGTAATCACAATCTGTGCAGAGTTGCTTATTCTCTTTAAATCATCATGAATGACGAAACTTTCAAATTGATCCACGCAAGTGGTGCTGTTGAACAAAATCAACATCAATGACAAACGAGGTTTTAGAAAACTGATGAAAACTGCTTGAAGACCTCTCCCGACTTCCTGCCAATATTATTATCCTTGCATTGAAGCGTTGCACTTTCTCTGAAGCTTGGCTCAAATGCTGAGTAAGCAAGGCAATTTCCTCAAAAAACATCCAGAAACAAGGAAAAACCGAACATGTCAAAACGCCAGAGTTGGAAGGCTCCTCCACTGCTGTGTACTGAATCGTCTACTGATGTCCCTTGCTGGTCTAAGGAACAGGCCGTTCACAAACATCAACCAACGGGCTGACCTTTCGGGTTCCATCTCCATCTCCACACTCTGAAGCTTTTCCGTCATTTCGAGTGTTGAGATTGTTGAGTTGGAATGGAGTCATCATCTGCTTCCATCTCCGCAATTCGAAAGGATCCGAGAAACAAAATCACTAGTGCTTCCTTAATCTTCCTTATAGATGGTCATCTTTGCGTCGCTTCGAACAAAAGATTTCTTGATTGTGCAAGGGCATCCTCTGTGACATGTGGATCTGTAACTGTAGGCTGAGGCTCGCTCTTTGTTGGGATCAGACTTTGGTACCTGGCAAAGTATCATCTACATCCAGCCCAAGCACTGGCCTGGTACTTCCTAACTGCAGACACGTTTAACACTCGTTTAACACTTGGATACACTGGGAACTCCCTGCAATTCCTCCATGCACATCACCTTCATCTTCTCCGTTTTTTATCAGCCTATCCTTTGAGACATGGAGTGACTGTCGAAGACTGTCGATGGTAACCTGCTGCATGCCTCGGGTACTCGGTCACCTTTGCGAACTGCATCGTTTGCCTTGGCGCAAAAGGGTCTAAGTTTTAAGCAGGGATATGATGAGATATGATGGGATATGCAGCATACAAAGCTATATGCTTCGGAGATTGTCCCAATTGCCAGGAACATCCAGTGGAAATCTGGAAGCTTTGAGACCATGAAAACTGATGTTGGTCAAAAAAAACCTGCCACATAGCTGAGACCCGTCGTCATATCCGGTATATCGACCAATCGGGGCCTCTTTGAGATGACGGAGAGTCAGCTTGAGCTGCGCCTGGACAATCCAGATCACCAAATCACACAGAAACTGGCTCCAAACGACCCCGAAACTGGATGCTTCAATGCAGATCATGACTGGCTTCATGACCAGCTCTTCGTGGTCCAGCAATTTTCGAACCATTTCCATCTGAATGGCCACACTTTGCCACACTTGGGAGTGGCTCATCATTCTTTGGAACCCCAAATGGATGCTATTTCAGAAATTTTCCTACAAAACTGCAATTCTGCAGCTTGATGATTTGGTTTCATATTGGCTACACCTTTCTTTTACGGGATTTTTGAATATTTTTGATGGCATGAAACATCATTAAACCTCCAGCTGGATCCCCAGCCGGGGGCCTTGGAGCAAATGGTCCCTTGCACTTCGTGCATGCGACGTTTGGCATCTGTCTGCACTGCCACCTTGGCCTGGGAGAGGCACGAGGGGTGAACTTTCGGCCGATTCACTAGCGAAATGAACCATTATACCCCAAAAAAGGCCCATAGACTATCATAGACTCATAGATCTGATACAATGTATACATATAAGTTGTATAAGTTGTAAAAATCCTGTAATCAATTCACTTCGGCGCCTGAGTCTGTTGGATTTGGGATAGCAAAATTCATTCCATTCGCCTGCGGAGAGGATTCTACGGCTCGGAGCGCCCAGAAGAACAGATGTCCAAAGGCGACATCGTTTCGGACCTGGCCGCGCTGGCTGAGTTCGAGATTCTTCGGATGTCAAGTCTGTTGCTCACTGCACAATGGAGAGATATGGAGAGCATCCAAACACTGAGTTTCTCGCTGCATCAAGAACGAAATTCTCCCAAAGTAATTTTCTGCACTCCTGCGGACCAATCACACCTGATGCATTTAGGCATGTAAATGGTTTCAGACATGTAAATGACCCAAAGTGAGTGCATGTGAATCTCAACTGACTTGGCCAGAATTCAGCTGGTCCATGCATGGCGCGTGCAGGATCACATTGATGATGGGAACCACAAAGTCCAGTAACTCAGCGCAACTTGCATTGAAGCTTTGTCAAGACTTGTCATGTTGTCCATTTTCAGAAATTATCAACTGGTAAAATAATGAGGGGATGGCAGTATCATCTTGAGTGGCCTCAGCTAAACAATCACCACTTTGATGATGCAATGGCATGCAATGGCACAGCATGGCACAGCTTTTCCTCAAAAGTCTCCGCTTGGAGCACGGCCTTTAGAGACTTCAAAGCAGATACACATCGCATTGCTGTTGCCTCGCAGATTCTTTGCAGCTTACAGCAGATATCCATTACTGATCCTACAGCTACACACTGTCAAGTGTCATGGACTCATGTGCAGCAAGCAGTTTCTGATGTTTCTGATTGTTTCTGTATTGAAATTAAAGAGTTTGAGAAGTTGGCAACACAGCCTAATTACCTCAACTCAGGATTGCAAAGCGCCTGTACGCCGCCTGGTAAACGCAGGTGGCCAGATGTGTCCTACAAGTTCTACCCAGCGAAACTGAAACTGTGCCAAGGCGAGGTGGTAAAATCAATTAAAATCATATGCGCATCGGCGCATGGGGTCACCCAGCAAATCCCGTTCTTCTTAGTGGCTTAGTGGCTGTACAAAAAAACGATCCGTGACGGTGATGTGCCAGGATTCGCTCACAAAAAGGTCCCAACTCCTGCCGAGTCTGTGGATCTACCCAAAGTAATTCTACAAGTGCTTCAACCGCCTGTCACAGCCGGAACTATCGGAAATAAGTCTCAATTGCCTATGAAGAGGTAGCCACACATGCGTTGCTTTAAAAGATTCCACTCCAAAGATCTCCAGAGTGATTCCAGCCCTGGTGAGCTTACGGATTTCTGGAATTTTCTCATCTGCTAATGCTGGCATGTCGCACCAAACAGCCTTGGCTTCATTGTCTGTTTGCCTTGATTGCTGAAATCGCACCTGCAGAAAGATCACACTTCGAACGAACAGTTCAGCGGAAATTATGACACAAAATGGCTGACCTAAGGGCCGAGTAATCCACTTTAATCCATTTAAGGCAACATCAGGCAGCTCATTACCATTTGGACAAAGTCAACCTGGATCCCTCCACAGTTTGATGCCAAGTTGCACGGAAGTGGAAAGGAAGGGAGCTGCCATTCTCCTGGCGCCCAGCACGAAATGGGAAAGTCACTCTTGCTAGTGCAGCGTTGATACTACAGACTTGACTATCTTTACAGCGTGTGCGCCTTTGGGGCCTGTACGCACCAGAGCCCTCCCTGGGAGCGATCACGATCCTGCCGAGCGCCACTGACACGATCTGACACGTTCTTGTTAACGGAACTCATCAAAGCTCACTACCCTGCAGTCATCTCCCATCGCTTCTCTGAAAATCCTTGAGTCGGAAATCTCAGCATCAACAGCAACTTATAGTAGATAAATCAATGAAATCGACCTACTTGGTAAAAAGAAAGTGGAGGCTCCTTCCACAATAAATGTTCATCCAAATGGACGAAATCTCCACTTGGACGCTCCTAAGTTCACTCCGAGGTGGAGCATATTGGAGCATCCGCATCCGCATCACGGGCATCCGCACGCTGTGATAGGGAGATTTTCATATAGGAAGTATGGGAAATCCCAAGGATTATAGACTAGAGTCAGCGAAAAAGAGGATTTTACAACTAGAGAGCCAGCTGTTGAATGAGATGATTTTGCATCCTCTGCAAGAAGATTTAAAATCAGTTCCACCTCGTAATGGTACCAAGTTGAACTTAAATGTCATGTAAAGAATAAACAAATATAAGATGTAAAGGATCAAACAGAGCCTCAAACGACAACAGCTTCAACACTCCAAGTATCTCCAAGTGCTCCCGCTGAGGCTCGGACCACACAATTACCCATATCAAATATACAGGAAGCCTGGCTGAAAAAACGCTGATCAACCCACTGTGTTGCTGCCTGGTACTTGGACCATTGGAGCGTCCCCGGAAAAAACTACACCTGAAACAAAACCCAGAATCAGAAATATACTTTCTAAAGATTTCTAAATGATGTCTACACAAAATGAATTACCTGAAAACAGGTATGTGGAGTCAAATGCCATTCTTGTCTTGTAAAGGCGTTGGGATGATTTGGGGGTCCACATATCTTGAAAAAGAGCCTTCACACTGGACCCTGAGCCTGCAGGCAGTTTGCCACTACAAGCACCCCGAGATCAAGCGATGCTGAGCCAAATGTCAAGTCGATGAGAAGAACTGCGGTAGACCTCAGGAGAGTTTGAGCATTGGTTCAATTCCAGATTCTGAACGCAAAGAAGCTTCCCACCTGTTATACCGTTCTGGAGGAATTCTTGAAATGCAAAGAAGACCATGTCTGCACATGAATAGAGGACTTTGCAAGAAACACGCTTTTACCGTGAGAGTAAGAAACTGTAACGGCCCTGTGGAGTGAAAGGCAGCTGAAATGTTTTGTTTGACCAAACAATAAGATCAGCCGCAGGTTGCTCACTTTTTCCTCTTGTGCACGCCTGGAGGAAATGCAAGTGATTTTTACCATCTATAACCTTCAAAAACAATGAATGGTCGCTGTTCACTCACACTCAATCAAACAAACTGCACCATTTTTAGATATGAACACATATTTACTTTCATGGATGCAAACTGCCAATACCTTTGGACTTGATCCGCACGACCCTCGGATAGCTAATGAGGCCATCAAAATCAGGCCCATGGCTTCAGGCCCCAATCATATCTTTTAGATCCTGGGGCGAGCATGCGCAAGGCTTGCGTCAAGCGGTAAGTTTTTTAGACTTTTCATGAAATGATTGACATGATTCAATGGAATCCTCTATATACTATATAAATTGCACCCCAATTAAAAGCTTGAAAGAATTCCCATGAAATCCCTAAACCCCAAAAACTTTTCACCTTCGACATCCTGCCGAAACGGCAGCGATCCCCTCCTCCGTGGCATCGTCTCAACTGCACCCCGAGAACGCCCATGGAGAGTCCGCCTCTGCGTACCTGGCGTTGAGATGCTCTGTTTTAGCGCAGGAATACCACTCTCTCTCTAAGTATTCACAACTATTCCAACCATTTCTGACAAAAACTACAAATATCACATTTTTCTATACAGTACTTCTCTTCAACCAATTACTTTATTACAAGCTACAGCCTCTGTAATGCAAAACCCGATCAATTGCAGGCACATGAGACGACACTGAGCACCCTTTTGTTCTGTTCTGTAGTGCGCAAAAGGGTAAGCTTTGCGAAGGCGAGCAAGCTTGAAAGCGATGACAATTCTGTGGCCAGAGCACGCCATTCAACTTTTCCATGCTCCGGCGGGGTCTGGAAAACTTCCTAGGCTCCAATCATATACATCAGCAAGTCCACGACCCTGTTGCTGTAGCCCCACCTGATGTGTTTGGACCACCATTGGTGTGGATTACCAGCTTAAAAAACGAAAACAAAAAAAACACGGCATAGCGAAATCAGACGGTGTCTATATCAAGGCACTCGTTGTCATACCAGGACACGATCTTGAAGAAGCGCTTCTCACCTTAGTATCCGTGGCTCGACCAGGTTTTTGTGTTGCCTTTTTCTGGGTAAAATTACAAGGCCAAAAACCGTCGGATCCTGATTTCATCCCATGGTAACCCACAACTTTCAACGCCCGTCGCCACTCTGCCCAGTGGCCCTTGAGGTTGTTCTGCAGGGTGGCCTTGGAGTCGTAGATGGAGGAATTCATGTTGTGAATGAAGTCCGCAGACACCAACTCCTCATCTGTGTAGGAGAGAACGCCCTTCCTTGGATGAAGGACATGGCGACCATGCTGTTGGATGTGGCAAAATCATGAGGCCAGTGAACACTGACCTGGTTTGGAGGTCTTTTGATGCTGGATTTAGACATGGATAGACATGGTCTATGGGTTGAAATGGTGCTGGTTATGTATTGGATTTAAACATTCACAGAAACATGATGATCGATATGCAACTAGGACATCAACTGCCCGGTAACTGGAAGGCTTCTCAAGCCCCCAGGAAGTAGAATACGACAGACTGACAGAGTCTGGTTCCTTAGCCTCAACAGGTTGCCCCGCCATCCCACCATTATCCAATCAAAGATAACCAAAGCGTCATGTAGGTCTCGGTGGCCTTCTTCAACAGGGAATCAATTTCCTCGATGGAGGTGTCCTCAGTTGTCATCTAGCGACTGATGAGAAACACGCCATCGTGGCAAAAACATACGCTGAGCTGCCAGTGCTTTCAACCATCATAAACCTGAACCTGTAGTGGTAACGTAATGGTAATGTGCCAACTTCTCCATTTTATATCAGTTTATATCATGTTACACCGTTTTATATAATTTTATATCAGTTTATACCCCATGTATCCCCCATCCTGGAGGATACAACACCACCAAACCCCGTGGCCGTGGCCGTGGCCATGATGCCTTCTCAGCAGTGAAGGTCAAGTCGACCACGGACACATCAGGTGTGGGCACGCGGAAGGCCATACCGGTCCTTGTCTCGAACATGGGGGGAACCAAAATACTGGGATTTTGGTTGGAAAACTAAAGGAAAGCGTGATTTAGCATCATGAAGTAAGATGAAATTTGGAAAAATGTTTGGTTAATATATTACATGATGACCTGCAAAAACAATGCGTATGTGAATGTGTGACTGTTTACCAAAACAAATTGTGTATACACCATGTGGGCACGTGCCACAAAATGACACGAGTCTATGGAACCAACTAAACGAAAACGTGGCCCGCAAAGAAACCAAGACACATCAAATGTTCTTTCCAAAAACAAGTCACGCATGCGAAAGGTTCCTTCGAAGGAAAATATTAATGTTGGCACCCGATTAGTGTGATGGGACCCTATTGTGAGAAATTTTTGTTTCCTAATTGAGTATCTTGGTGTTTGTGCGGGGGGCCTCTTTTGTGAGATTTTTTCAATTTGTTTTCCAATTTTTGTGTTTTTTTCAGATTTTCCAAATAATTAGATGCCTTATTAAACCCTTATTAAAAAACAACACCCAGACAATTTTTCAAGGTGGTACCCCATGAATGGCTCAGATCCTCAATAATACAATTGTTTGGATGGTACCCTGTTGTGCACAAAAACTTTTTGGCAGTGAAAAAAAACAAAACCTTTTTTCCACCTTTCTTTGAGTAAAGCTGGTCCATTTACTTTGGAAATCAATATTTATATTAAAACTTTAAAGCGCAAGGTTTTCCAAATAATTAGATGCTTTATTAAACCATTATTAAAAAAACAACACCCCGACAATTTTTCAATTTGGTACCCCATGAATGGCTCAGATCCTCAATAAAATATAATTGTTTGGATGGTACCCTATTGTGCACAAAAATTTTTTGGGAGTGAAAAAAAAACTAAACCCTTTCTCCACCTTTCTTTGAGTAAAGTTGGTCCATTTACTTTGGAAATCAATATTTATATTAAAGCTTTAAAGCGCAAGGTTTTCCAAATAATTAGATGCTTTATTAAACCATTATTAAAAAACAGCACCCAGACAATTTTTCAATTTGGTACCCCATGAATGGCTCAGATCCTCAATAAAATATAATTGTTTGGATGGTACCCTATTGTGCACAAAAACTTTTTGGGAGTGAAAAAACAAAACAAAACCCTTTCTCCACCTTTCTTTGAGTAAAGCTGGTCCATTTACTTTGGAAATCAATATTTATATTAAAGCTTTAAAGCGCAAGGTTTTCCAAATAATTAGATGCTTTATTAAACCCTTATTAAAAAACAGCACCCAGACAATTTTTCAAGGTGGTAACCCATGAATGGCTCAGATCCTCAAAAATATAATTGTTTGGATGGTACCCTGTTGTGCACAACAACTTTTGGGAGGGAAAAAAACTGAAAGTAAATTGAAAATCAAGTGAAAGTAAATTGATTTCAATTGAAAGTAAATTGAAATCAATTGAAAGTAAATTGAAACCAATTGAAAATCAATTGAAATAAATTGAAATCAATTGAAAGTAAATGGAAATCAATTGAAATTAAATTGATTTCAATTGACAGGAAATTGAAATCAATTGAAATTAAATTGATTTCAATTGGCAGGAAATTGAAATCAATTGAAAGTAAATTGATTTCAATTGAAAGTAAATTGATTTCAATTGAAAGTAAGTTGACTAGCCTAAAAATTGTTGAGGGGGGGGCGCCAAAAACTGCGAGTTATTCAGTATATTGCGACGGATTAGCACTTAGAATTCGTAAATCATTGCGACAATCACTTAGAATTGTGTCTTAGTGATACCTGGGGAGTGCACTTAGAATTGCCGGCAGTGATGTCAAAAGAATGCACTTAGAATTAGAAGGCCATATCATAGCCAAGCACTTAGAATTGTATCAACTCCTGGTGGTACCCCCAAATCATCAATTTTTTGAAAGATTTTCCACTGTAAACCATCCATTTTGGGGTACCCCCCCATTTATACATTATTGGTTCCCCCTGGCTCAGTGCTTCCCCCTGTTGGTGTTTCTGTTGATGGACTGCTGGTGCAGATTCATGTGGAGGTGCCTGCTCTGGCAGGTCTGGATGCTGTTTCTGCAATTCTATGTGCTGCTTGTCTTGTTCCTGTGCATTTAAATTGCAGTTGGTGCCGGTTCCTGCTTTGGGTTTGGTTCGGGCCGTGGGGTATGAGCAGCATCTGCTGTTGCTTCTGCTGTTTTTTCTGTTAAGGGCTGCTGATGCAATTTCATGTGGAGGTGCTTGCTCTGCCATTTGTGGATGCTGTTTCTGCAATTCTATGTGCTGCTTGTCTTGTTCCTGCGCATTTAAATTGCAGTTGGTGCCGGTTCCTGCTTTTGGTTTCGTTTGGGCTCTGGAGAATGAGCAGCGTCTGCTGTTGCGTCTGCTGTCCCATCTGCTGTTCCTTCTGCTGCTGTTTCTGCTGCTGTTTCTGTCGAAGGGCTGCTGATGCAATTTCATGTGGAGGTGCCTGCTCTGCCAGTTGTGGAAAGGGGGGCCGATGGGAAACTAATTCTAACTGCATCACCATTGTATCCGGGTGGCTTTACGACCATTAAAGAAAATATGAGCACATCTTTTCTTACCGTCGTTAAGGATCGCCATGCCATTCATGCAAGGCTGCGATCTCTTAAACCCCACAAGCTGCAGCGTCAATACTGTGGTATATATGGATGTTTGGACGGATCTGCTCGTTTTTTCAAAACAATATTCGACACACTGTGAAATTTTGTGTTTGGTATTCAAAACATTTCAAAGCATTTCTCATCCATCATACATCGCCCGTCAAATTTATGTATATACATTGGGTGTTTCCCTTAGAAAATGGTGGCAGTGATAGATATTTATGAATATATATATATATATAATAATATACATATTATTATCATTATATATATATATATTGATATACTGTAATCAACGTATCACACATGAACATATACAACACATATACATATAGCAAAACAATTCTATGTGTAAAAGAATTCTATCTTTTAGACATACGTATCAAACAATTCTAAGCCGCTTTTTTTCTAGCACTTAGAATTCGCAGATATTTGCGAGGCAAAAACCGAAGAAAACAATTCTATCTGCTAGTCACCTACTATACTCAAATTGTTTGAGGGGGAGGGGGGGGGCCCTCACACTAATCAGTAGCAAACGTTAGGAGAAAAACATTGTTGATATTGATGTTGATGGGATGGCAATAATGATGGGAATGATGCTGGTGATGATGATGATGATGATGGTGGTGATGGCTATGGCCTGAATGCCTTCACGCAGGTTGCGATTCGGTTTGCGCGCGGTGAACCTTTCTCGCACCAAACCCGCGCCAATCTTTCAAAGTTGTGCTATAATTACTATTTGGTTTTGTCCTCGGTAAGCCGATCCTCGAATTCTTTCTTACACCGAGCTTGTGCCGGTAGATTTTTTTTCGCACGAAATGCGCCTCGACCGTTTCAACCTGAAATAAACATTGCGATTTTCCCATGCGTGCCCATGTTTAAAGCAAGCTTTCGTTTTTTGTTCTTGTTATGGTCTTGACAACGTTTGTAGGTCACTTGCGCCAAAACGGCCGATCAGCACACGAAAGGAAAATCAATATAACCACACGGTGGGTCTGAAATCAGATGATATTTACACCTGCCCCGGAAATCAAAGGGTCGAAGATGAAGAAAGAAGAAAGGTTGGCATGTTAGCTAGCACATGGCCGCACATCCACCGACACTGGGTCTGAAAATGGTCTGAAACACTGCAGAACCCTGAGCCGAGACCTGAATGCAACCTGATGGTCGGCCGCGCCTTCGTTCACAACGAAAGACAGCTTGCAGTCCGTAACGCCAAAGGTGCTGCACTCCTGCAGTAGCAATGCGAAATCGAAAATTTTTCAAATATATATAGGATGCTTCCACATGCCCCAGAAATCCAAGGGCCGGCGACGCAAAGCGTTCTAGGACGTTATAGTCTACATCGTCTACATGCGCCACCCAGATTTGGTTTGAAACCACTGAAAATCGATGACTCCATCCACATGCGCCTCTGCGTGCATTGAAACCCTCGAGGTTGCAACGACAGACTTGCACCTGCAATGGCAAGGCGACATCGGCCCATTCAGACACATGGCACAAGGACGGCTCCACGTGCCCCGGAAAGACAATATTTTCATGTATATACCACCCAGATTGACCCAGATTGTGTCTGAAACGGGTCTAAAGGCAACAGCGACAATTGATGTGAGACATCCAAGAATGCTACCACGTGCCCCCGGAAAGCCAAGGGTCGAGAAAAAGAGGTAATAAGTATCACACACCACCCAGATTGGGTCCGAAAACGGGTCTGAAACCCTTCGGAGACCTCAGGCCCAGGATCCCACCCGCGCCTCCCCTCCGGTCACAAGGAAAGCTTGCACCTTTGTAATGCCAGACTTTACGCCTCCAGTGGCAAGGCAAGAACGACAATTTGTTTGAAACATTCGAAATTCAAGACTGCTACCACGCACCCCGGAAATCCAAGGGTTGAGGGAGAAAAGGATGTCGCACGCTCTACATGCACCTTCCAGATGCACCTTCCAGATTGGGTCCGAGATAATATGTAGGTAACGAGGCTTCTCGAGTATCGGTCTGTTTTGGACCAGGCAGCACGACGGTTGCGGCTTGACAACCCAAGCCCAACTGCGGGCAGGAGCATAACGGAGATTCAAGGGTAATGCTGCGGAAAGCATGGACGTTTTTGGTCGGTCTAGAGTCTCAACGGTAAGTTATAAACTAACTTCTGCGACAGGATCAAGAGGTATGACCCCGGAAATCCAAGGGATTGGCACGGCCGTGCAGGCAGCGAGGTGGTCTGAAATCGTTTTTGAAACCAACATGCCCACCCTGCCGAACGACGACCCATGCGCACCTCCAGCCGCATCACGGGCAAAGTGAACACTCCCCTGCAATAGCGCCGACCACGTGGAAGGCGACGTGCATTTTAGACTTTACGCCCCGGCAATGCAAGGGCGCAATTGCATGAAGAAGAAGAAGAAGAAAAGAAGAAGAATGAGAAGAATAATGCCATGTAGACTGTCATGTCTCAGACCAAATATCATCCTCCGTCGTATCGCCAACATCCACGTCGTATGGACCAGCACCATGCATTAATTCCTGTTTGAAGGGGTCTGAAACAGGTCTGAAACAATATGGCAGCAACAAGTCATGCCGACGCGGCCGACCAACGACCCATGCCATGCGAACCTCCAACCGCAGGAGGCAAAGACAAGCAACCCAACAGGAAAATAGGGCCACCTGTATATTGGACAGGAGTGCCCCGGAACGCCCCGGAAATCCAAAGGCTTCCACGAGATGAGCTAGAAGCATGATGGCCCCGAACCATGTCGTAGCGCACACATCCACCAAATCATCTTTCTAGTACCTTTGTGCCATGACATAAAGGGTGGATAATTTGCAAAAGCCTGTGTAATTCGGTGCCATTGCGGCCGCAATTCAGCGTTCCGAATTGCGTCCCAAAAGGCACTGAATTCGAAATGCTGGCCGGTGATTGGTTGCACAGTAGTGGCCGAATATACTTGAATTGAAAAATATTTTTATATCTATATCTATATCTATATAGATGTAGTTTGAAATAAAGATATAAGAAGTAAGAAAGAATATATTATATACAAAGTTTTTGATTTATCTATATCTATCTATCTATCTACCTATCTATCTATCTATCTATCTATCTATCTACCTATCTATCTATCTCTCTCTCTCTATCTATCTCTCTATCTATCTATCTATCTATCTACCTATCTATCTATCTATCTATCTATCTATATTGAAACAGAAAGACAGATAGATAGATAGATGGATCGGTAGATCGGTGTAGAGACACATCATCCCTCCCCCATGTCTTCTACAGTGTCAATCTGGCTTCAATTTGGCTTCAAGCCCGTTTTTTCTGGCTTCTGAGGGCAGGATCCAAAAGCACACGCGGATTCACCAGCACCATGCATTCATTTTTGGGGGTCTGAAACAGGTCTGAAACACTGTGGCAACGACAATTCATGCCCACACGCCCGACCAACGGCCCGTGCGAACCAAACCCCAGAAGGCAAAGAGGAGCTACCCTACAAGAAAACTGACCGTTCGAAAAGGTGTGCCCCGGAAATCAAAGGGCTTCCACGAGATAGGCCACAAGCATCATGGCCCCGAATGTATAAACATCCACCATATTATCTATCTAGTACCTTTGCGCCATGACGTAAGAAGCAATAATTTGGAAAAGCCTGTGTAAGTCTGCGGCATTGATGGATGGCCGAATGTAATTGTGTATATTTTTCATATACGTATACAACAATCTTCAAATCTATATCTATATCTATATGTAAATAAATAAATAAACATATATATATAAATATATAAATAGATCTATATAAATATATATATATATGTTTTTTTTAAATATATGTATATATATATATATATATCGCGATGTAAATACATATCACCCCCTTTTGAATTAGGGGGAGATGTTGTTTAACCACACCGTAGATCAAAGTGATGGATGGATGGATGGATAATACATCATGTTTTGCGCAGCCTCCATCTGGCTTCAAGTTGGCTTCAATCCCGTTTGGGAGGCTTCTGAGCGCAGGATCCAAAAGCACACGCGGATTCACAAACACCATGAATTCACTGTTTGGGGTCTGAAACAGATTGGTTGCATAGATGGATGCCCGAATATGTATGTGTATATTTATATTTATATATATATATAAATAGATTTTTACATGTATAAATGTCTAAATATGTGTACACACACACATATATATATATATTGATATATATATATATTGATACACATCATCGCCCTTTGCATTAGGGGGAGGAGTTGTTTACCAAACCGTAGTTGAAATTATTAAAAAAAAAGTTTTCCCTACAGTATGGCGCCATAAATGCAAAATTTGAAAACAACCAAATAAATGCCAAACCTAAATATGATCACTATCAATTCAATTGGCCCCTGGCCACCAAAAACCGTCCCAATCAATTAACCGTGCCAGTTTGAAACGAACCGAACAGTAACCGAACCGATGGTTAGGTTACTGGAAACCGAACTGAACCTAACCGTGGCCACCCTGAAAAAATGTATGTGGAAATAATGTGTGTAGAAGTGTTTGTGTAGAGAAGTTGTTGTGTCAAACTGTTCGTGCGTCAACACGTTTCTGTGTAAAGCACGCGTTTCCTGCGGGCAGGGCGCGCTGCTGGCAAATCTAATCAGAAGTTTACCTCTCTTGAGAGGATCGATGTGCGTTTGGTGTTGAAAGGGTTCGCTGCGCGCAAACCAAATCGCAGTTTCACCATTTTTCTAAAGATCGATGCCCGTTTTGTGAGAGAGCGGTGCGTTTCGTATTCATTGATTTGCACTGCGCTGCCACCAAAGCGTAGAAAGTTGCAAGGCTCGATGTATGTAAGCGCTTCCTAGAAGGTTTTTGCGGCTGCATCTATACACCTGCATCTACAACATACATACAATTGTAGATGTGGAGGTGCTTTCTAGAAGGTCTAAACACCTGCATCTATACAGTTGTTGATTTCCATGTGTTTTCTAGACGATCTTTATACCTGCATCCATACACCTGCAAAAAAAAGTAGGTATCTACAACAACTACATGGGCAGAGAAGTTGATGCGTTTGTTGCTGTCGTTGTTGTTGTTGTTGTTGTTGCTGTTGCTGCTGCTGCTGCTGTTGTTGGTGTTGTTGTTGTTGTTGTTGCTGTTGCTTGTGGTGGGGGGCGGCGGCGGCGTTGGTGTTGTTGTTGACATGTTGAAATGTTAAAATGTTGAAGTGCTTTTCATGGTGTGATGAGGGTGTTGTGATGATGATGATGATGATGATGATGATGATGATGATGATGATGATGATGATGATGTATACATGTATGTTGACGATGTAAATTGGCAGCTGCTCTTTCCAAAAAACCCTTCACAGGTGCTTTTGGGGAAAACATGTTCCAGCCCATCCAAGTCTCAACTTGCCCTTGGTGGTTGGCAAGACCTCACCGACGGCCTTGGCCGCACCAGTCGCGCTGGGAATAATATTGCACGCAGCCGCACGACCGCCACGCCAGTCCTTTGCCGACACACCATCCACGGTCTTCTGAGTGGCGGTGTAGGAATGGATAGTGGTCATCAGGCCCTTCTCAATTCCAATGCCCTCCTTCAACAGCACGTGGCAAATTGGTGCCAGGCAGTTCGTAGTGCAGGAGGCGTTGGACACCACATCCATGGAGGCCTTGTCGTACTCGGTGTGGTTCACGCCGCACACCAAAGTCTTCAAATCGCCTTTGCCAGGAGCGGAGATGATGACCTTCTTGGCTCCGGCTTCAATGTGACCCTTGGCCTTGTCTGCCTCCACGAACAAGCCCGTGGATTCGATCACATATTCGACTCCCATCTCCTGCAACCCCATGGATTCGACCACCTACTCGACTCTTTTCTCTTGAGAGTTGAGTGACAGTAGATATCATGATATCTATATAATATTTATTTTGACATCAAGTCCGATATCATCTGTTCGAACCTTGTGACAAGTATGCCGACATTTACAGTCTGACATCAACTCTGACGTATATCCTGGCATGTTAAATCACCATGGAAATCCGTCGAATGTATTCTGACACATATCCTGAAATATATTCCGCACAGTCACAGAGTCCGACATTTGCTCTTGCAAAATTCATGCAGCAGAAATTTCGGCATCAACTCTGACATGTGCTCTGGCCAATTCCATGTATATAATATGATGAACATGAAATCTCTATAGAATCAGAGGCCCCAAGGTCCTCTATAAAATTGTAAGCGTTGACGTTGGGTAGGTACCCCTTATTAAGTCAGGGGGTTAAAATGCACCATTTTCCTGGCCCCAACGTTCTCAATTCTGTAGAGGAAATTCCAAGGGGGATGCATAAGGTTCCAGGAGCACGACGTCCGGTTCGCCGGTGGGGCACAACAAGGAAGCCGCAAGCGGTGTAAGTTCCAGGTCCGATTCGGCGCACAGAATCCGCAAGCGTGGTTAATATGGTGCATTTCCGGTGAAGCACACAGAAACATCAAGCGCAGTATAAGGTCGGGGTGCGGTGGGGCACACTGGGTCCAGTGGGGCACAAGGAGTCTGCGAGCTTGGGTTGAGAGGAGGTGCCGCAAGAGCAGTTGAAATCAACAGAATCCTACTTTAAAAGTAATTTAATACAGCCAACTGAGGACAATCTTTGTCTGCATTGCCCATCCAGAGCAGCATGTCTCATGCTCAAGTGGCTTTACGGACTTTTCTGGCATGTTCTGGTCATCTTTATTGATCCCATTCTTTGCAGCAAGACTTTCAAAGCGCAATCTTCAAGTATCCTAATTCTGCATGTTCTTCTTCACTTTTGAGCTAAGTCTGTGTCATGGTGAATCGTATCCTTGCACACACAGGTAAGAACGATGCTCCAAGTTCTACCAGCTCCAGATGGTGGACTGATTTTTTCGACCTTGTACCATCTCCCTGGATGTGCTATCCCAAGCCTACGCAATGCAAAAACCCAGCATGTTGGTAAAACCATAGAACATGATTATATATACACAGGCAACAGTTTGGCTTGCTAATGAACCCGAGCAACACCTCTTCCACGCTGCAAGGACTCGAGTAAATCAGTGATGCATTTGGGCATCATGTCTTTTGCGCAGGGGTCTACGGCGTGGTTCCTCTCATCAGCCAATGCCCAACCGCCCATTGCCTCTCCTTCCATGGCAAGGCCTTGGGTCCTTCGCGGCTCGCTTGGATGCACTTGATCTTGTGGCCGTTCACAATCAGCTCATCCTTCTCACCGATCCTTAACACATTGGAGGTTCCCAAGACGGGGACTTCACTGCATGATCCAAATCTTGGTCAACCTGGTTCTTTTTGGCACAAGGAAATCAAAATGGCCCAAACAAAATTTGAAAGAAAAAACAAATGTGCCCTGTTCAGGTTGGTAATCGCATTTAAGACCCCTTTGCATTGGTTGGATCCCAAGAAGCAAGGATAGGAACTGCCGGAAACCATCCCGTCTACATAGCTCAAGCTCCATCACACTTTATGAATAAGCCGGCTTCACTAGTTGCATTCAGGCCCGAATCAAATGCTCAAGAACAACATCCAAGGCTCTTGACGTCATGCTTGAACTTGCCGTGGACGCTGTCATACCTTGCATGTGTTATGTAACTTCAGCAATCAGAGCCACAATCTCCATATGTTCAGCGATTTGTCAACAGTGCAATCCTTACAAACCCAAACCTTTTTGAAACTTCGGCTTCGATGAGCGCGCGTATGTAAAACGTATCCTGTTACAACTAACAAGAAGAATTTTCACATAAGTTTCAGACTGCAGCGGGATGGAGAGGACATACGAGGCTCCATTCAAGGAAGCTCCTCACATGATACTACCAGTAGGATCTCACCAGGGTACCTGGTGACATTGCCTGCAGATAGACTCGAACAACGTGTGTTTCCAGCTGTACAGGATTTCTGCAATTTGCGGCGAGCTCCGAATCAGCTTGAGATGAAGCTGACAAAGTGCATTCCATGTCACACATTTCTTCATGATGAGTCAGATTGTCAGCTTGACATGCACTGAACTGTCCGAGTCCGTCAAGAGCAGTTGGATGTCACAGATTCCTTCATGACGATGACTCAGTTTGTGAGCTTGACATGTATGTATTGAAATTTCATGAATTTCTTGGTCGGTCAGAAACAGTTGGATGTCACAGATTCCTTGGTGACGATTCGTCAATTTGTGGTTTTGACATGTATTGCCACTACGCTTCCATAGTCGTTCAAAAGCAGATGGATGTCACAGAGTCTTTCATGACAATGAGTCCGCTTGCGAGCTTGACATTTATTGAACTTACTTAGTCGTTTAAGAGCCGTTGGATGTCACAGATTCATTCATGACGATTAGTCAGTTTGCTTCACATGTAAAGAACTTCCTAATCGTTCAAGAGCGATTCGATGTATTGAGGACATAATTACCTTGAAAACCTCAAGGCGTTGACAAGGTCTATCAACAGCACTTCCACATTTGAGCTTCTGAGCAGACAATGTGTGTGAGGACCTGGGTCATGAACCAGTGACATACGTGGCCCAAGTGTGGGTCAAACTGATGCAATGGCTGGGCTTAACTTAGCAGCAGCTATCAGCAGCTAAGGCAAGAGGCTTCATCTGGTACGCAAAATACTCAGCGTCCGTGGACATATCGACAACACCCACCACGTCCAACTTGGTACCAAGGAGGTTCTGGTCGCAAATGGCCTGGAAGACCATGCGTCCGATGCGGCCAAATCCATTGATGCCAACCTTGGTCGCCATGACGAAGCAGATTAAGCGGATTTGAGTGGGAAAGCTGAAATTGAGATCTCACTGAGCCAAGATGTTGCAGCATTCCACAAGCTTTTCGAAAGAAGAAATGCGACCAAAACACGGCCAACACTCCCTTGTACTCCCTTAAAACAGATTTCGAGAACTGGTGACAAATTCGCCCTGCTGGCATCGGAACATCTGTTTCCTGATCCCTTTGAACGGCTCACTGTCGGGGTCGGCCAAGACGATTGATCTCCTTTGTCTGGGGGTTCACGTGGTTGTGAGGGAAGTTCTCCTGGCGCGAGGGCTGTCATAGTAGCTACTTCTCCATCGCTGGTGAAACATCCCCCACTTCTTGTGCTAAGTACGAGTAGGGTCAACTAATCAAGAATCGTACGGATGAGTCGTGCTCAATTGATATCCAGATTTTGCAGAGTTCCACTCAGTTTTTGGACTTCAACCGCCCTTGAAACAGCGTTGAACATCACTAGCCACCCTGCAAAAACCGCGTGTCCTTGGGGCGCGCGAGCTCCTTGAAAAAGCCCTTCACCTGGCAGAAATCCAATAGTATGTTTTGATCAAAATTCACCAGCAAAAATGTTGGATTTCAACATAAACTGTTAAACTTTATTTAACTTACGGATTTGATATATTTTGATATCATGATCTATGATCCAAGCAATAAAATTATGTATAAAAATGATGCTTGAACCGACAGAAGCACTGAAGCGGTGATTTAACGCGAACAAAGAGATACAAGCAACAAAAACGGAGTGATCTAAGCAACTAACATTCAGACTATTAAACCAACCATCATGATCATGGGGACGGCTGAAGGCTGAAGGATTCTAAAGCATCAACAACAAGGACAGGGATACATGGGAAACTTCTCCAGAACAAAATACAGATATGTTCAACAATCATGGGGAGTTGGAAAGTGTTGTGCTACGGTTTCGAATCATGTCGTGCAGTGAAATATAGTGAAATTGCGTTAAAGTCATGCATCTGACCCTGAAGCTTTCACCAAAAGATTTGTCTGGTAACAAACCATACCCCATTGGATCCATGTATGCTATATATGGTACGAGTAACATTTACCATCAATATACCCCCAATGTTAGTATATATACCATACATGGATCCTATGGGTACTAGAGTCAGGCAATCAAAGTTGCATCTACGAAGTCATCAGTCTCCAGATGTCTCCGATCGCCTCTGAAAAGACACCTTCAGAGACAATGGCCGGTGTCTGATAGAAATCGAGCCATGCGATTGCCCAGCCTGGCTGTGAAAATAAAATTTTCTCTTACACAATTTCCCTGCACTTGAAGTATCAAATGCTACGGTCTATTCCTTTGGAAGTGCACTACTTTGACTGTATGCAACAGTGTGAGCATAAATAAAATTACAATTGACTGTCAATAAACATATTCGCTGCAAACCCCACGTTTGCCCGCATCGGATCCTGCATATCCTTTGACATACTCAAATCCCTGCGTAGGGCTAGCGCTTTTGACTTCCCAAAACCTACTTGAGAGGGGGGGGACGAAAGGTAGGTGGGGGCATATCTCTCAACAACTTTTTGCGTTCATTCTGTTTCAATATATATCGAGCTTTCCCTTCCCCCTAGGTGCCTCTCAATTTCCTGCATCCATTTCGTTTCATACGTAGACTTCCCCTATTGGCCTCTCCGCCACTTCTTACGTTTTTGCTGTTGCAATATCCGAACTTCCCCGGCATCAACAACTTCTTGCATGCATCTTGTCTCAATATCTAAATTCCACCCACCCCGTGCCATAGTCAGTATAATAAGAACCACAAGCAAGATAATAATAGTCAGTCTGTTGGCAACCTATGTGAATTAGAGGGGCCAAGGTGCCTCAACCGATCGACGCTCGGTTGCGGCACTTTGCGTGTAGGTCTTTATGGATGTAACCTTCATGCGGCTAAGTGCGTGAAGATGTCTGAAGCAAAAACAACATCAACAATTGCAGGAGACGAAACCGTCCTTGTGTTTCGTGGGAACTATTAAAAGGCTTGCGGCTCAGCGATAAGTGTCTCTGCGAAGGGACATACTGCTATTGTTTTCTGATCTAACATGAGCATTGTCCATGACCTGTGAAGAACATCGAATGGTCTCGTAAAATATTCCAGTTGGAGCATGGAGCTCAGCTGTGTGTCTGTGATGCGCGTAGAGCACCGAATTGCTTCTTATTGAGAAGAAAGTTAACGGACCGCATAACCCCACAAGTCAACTTCTTCCAATAATGATCAACAAATTTTGCAGCGGGGATGGGGAAGGAAGGAAAGACAAAGGAGGAGGTGGAGGAAAAATGGTTTGTGACAAAGTTGTGTGTGAAAGATGGTGTGGTGAAAGATGGTGTGTGTAAGATGGTGTGTCAAAGATTGTGTGTGAAAGATGGTGTGTGACAAAGTGGTGTGTGAAAGATCATGTGCCAAAGATGGTGTGTGACAAAGTGGTGTGTGAAAGATGGTCTGTGACGGCGTGTGAAAGATGGTGTGTGGCGAAGTGGTGTGAAAGATGGTGTGTCAAAGATGGTGTGTCAAAGATGGTGTGTGAAAGATGGTGTGTGAAAGACGGTGTGTGACAAAGTTGTGTGTAAGATGGTGTGTCAAAGATTGTGTGTGAAAGATGGTGTGTGACAAAGTGGCGTGTGAAAGATCATGTGTCAAAGATGGTGTGTGACAAAGTTGTGTGTAAGATGGTGTGTCAAAGATTGTGTGTGAAAGATGGTGTGTGACAAAGTGCCGTGTGAAAGATCATGTGTCAAAGATGGTGTGTGACAAAGTTGTGTGTGTGTGTGAAAGGTAGTGTGTGTGAAAGTTGTGTGTGAAAGAGAGCGTGTGACAAAGTTGTGTCTGAAAGATGGTGTGTGACAAAGTTGTATGAAAGATGGTGTGTCAAAGATGGTGTGTGAAAGATAGTGTGTCAATATCGACCTGCTGGTGTTTCTTAAAACAAGGTGGACCAAAGGATGCAAAAGCAAGACAACGCGCAGCAAACTTTTAAAAAAAAAACTTCTGGTGTGGGCAGTTGTGCTCTGCGCGAAATCGACGTAAGATCTTTGCTGAAACATCGTGCGCACTGATCGTATCAAGAGCCATAATTCACCACACCATGCTGTGTCAGCTACGTCTACATTCTTCTAGCCGCTGTTTTTGCTCATGCAATTAACTGCATCCCATCTTTCTGGTCGCTATTTATTCCTGGGTTCTCGTTTGCAAAAAGAAAGCTGGAGATGCGCAGTCTTTTGTTGAACCGTAGGGCCTTGTAAATGGACAACGTTCATGCCCAAAGTGTCAACATGCTTTCATGTGACATCAACTCCCTTCTTTGTGTTAGCTGTTCCCTATCAACATGCATCAAATCCATTTTTGGGCGCGGACCAGGGGGGAATCGAATGGGGGGGGCCCCCCCTAAGTCTCCGTTCGTGACTCTCAGTTTTCAATTTGCGGGAAAGGGCCAGCCACCTCCCCCAGTACTAAACTAGTACTAAAGTACATAGAACTCAGGTAGCCTAGGCTACCTTTCGTGAAAACCCTAAAACCCTAAAACCCTAAAGACCTAAACTACCTAAACCCTAAATGAAAACCTAAAGTCAAAATTGCTGCGTATAGCCAGTGTTTTCATTCATCCTCTGGTGACAAGTAAGGATATATCTTGTGGGGCATGGGGGAACGTGGGGCCTGGCCAACATATTATCATGCAAACATATATTACATTAGAATGACTTCATGTAGTTTCAAACATCAAACGCAAAGATCCCATTGTCAGGTCACCGTGGGCAATCCGAACGGGCATAGAATTCGAGCCCATGACCTCATGTAGCAAAACGGCCATGTTTCATAGATGGGGAATTCATGTTTTTTGGGTCAACCATCGTCTTTCTGCGCAGGAAAAATCGCCTGGTGCTGCAATTCTTGACCCCAAAAGCCCCTGCTTCATTCATAATGTCCCTCAATTTTGGTGATAAATTGATATAAATATATAGAAATTGATAAATCGAGGGTATTCATTTTTTCCCTATTTGAGACAAACTCGTGTGGCAAAGTTTTCAGCATACCAAGCTCCTGGCTTCGACTTTGGCCGGCGTGACGTTGCTGGGAGCTTCGGTCCGTTCTTTGACTTCCAAGTAGCGGTGTGAGCGCTCAATGTGACGCCAATGTGTCAGTTGCTTGTCTCAAGCGGATTCATGCTTCATCATGCTTCACTTCTTCAAGTGCGTAGCCCAATATGTTTAGACACTTACTGACATTCGATATGTTCTTGAGTTTTCCATTTTTTTACATTTCGATTTTACTATGATCAAATGTATTTGATTGTTTCAACGTGTTTCAAGCGCTGCAGAAACTTCGACATCAGCCGGACAATTTGCATGGCAACGGGCATTATTTTTGCTCGGCAGTGCCGAAAGAACGGCTTTCTAGTGACGTGTCTTTTTGCAAGCGTCCTCATTGAGGAACGGAGCTCAGTATCTCCCCATCCTATCCTAACCAAGCTAACCAAGCTAACCAAGCTAACCAAGCTAACCAAGCTAACCAAGCTAATCAAGCCAACCAAGCTACCCAAGCTACCCAAGCTAACCAAGCTAACCAAGCTAACCAAGCTAACCAAGCTAACCAAGCCAACCAAGCCAACCAAGCCAACCAAGCTAACCAAGCTAACCAAGCTAACCAAGCCAACCAAGCCAACCAAGCTAACCGAGCTAACCGAGCTAACCAAGCTAACCAAGCTAACCGAGCTAACCAAGCTAACCAAGCTAACCAAGCCAACCAAGCCAACCAAGCCAACCAAGCCAACCAAGCCAACCAAGCGAACCAAGCTAACCAAGCTAACCAAGCTAACCAAGCTAACCAAGCTAACCAAGCTAACCGAGCTAACCAAGCTAACCAAGCTAACCAAGCTAACCAAGCCAACCAAGCTAATTAACCAAGCTAATTAACCAAGCCAACCAAGCTAACCAAGCCAACCAAGCCAACCAAGCTAACCAAGCTAACCAAGCTAACCAAGCTAACCAAGCTAACCAAGCTACCCAAGCTAACCGAGCTAACCAAGCTAACCAAGCTAACCAAGCTAACCAAACTAACCAAGCCAACCAAGCTAACCAAGCTAACCAAGCTAACCAAGCCAACCAAGCTAACCAAGCTAACCAAGCTAACCAAGCTAACCAAGCTAACCGAGCTAACCAAGCTAACCGAGCTAACCAAGCTAACCAAGCCAACCAAGCTAACCAAGCCAACCAAGCTAACCAAGCTGACCAAGCTAACCAAGCCAACCAAGCTAATTAACCAAGCCAACCAAGCTAATTAACCAAGCCAACCAAGCTAATTAACCAAGCCAACCAAGCTAATTAACCAAGCTAACCAATCTAACCAAGCCAACCAAGCTAACCAAGCTAACCAAGCCAACCAAGCCAACCAAGCTAACCAAGCTAATTAACCAAGCTAACCAAGCTGACCAAGCTAACCAAGTTCAAAGTAAATTCCATGTTTGTTGGACATGTTGGGCACTCACCAATACAATAATAGATGCCTGCCAATAAAGTTCTGTTGCTGGATCTCAGAGACGATCATTGGGAGCTCCCGCTGATGTACTGTGCGAACTGCCGAGAGCTCAAGGAGCGTCATCAAAGACTTTGCCCCTGAGGGAAGGATTCTTTCGGCTGCGTCGTGGCACCTGACAGTGCAAGTAAATGAGGCACCACAAGTCGCTTCCCAAAAAGACGTAGCAGGCAGCGGCTAGTGGCGGCTAGTGACTAAAAACAGTTGACATTTGTTCGAAGATATTTGAAGGTCACAATTGTCCAAGCCAAACAAGTGACATCTTTATAGCAGGAAACAAGATGACGAAGATGAAACATTTCAAAACATATTTGAAACTGGCACGGACAAAATGCAGTGCAACGGACGTGCACTTTTCACCGCTTTGGCTTGAGCCACCGTCAAGGGTGGAACGAAAGATTCAACCACAGCACTGCATGACAGGGAAAAGACATGCAGTCATGACATGAAGCCACTCAGATTTCACACCCCTCTTTATTTTCTGGGGTTGAATCTGGTGGAAATTGCCATTCTACCTTCAGCTCACCTTTGTCAGTGAGATCATCTAATTGAGGTGCTTTCATGTGTTTCGTAAGGCCATCAGCAACCATGCTTCCAGTAGATATCCAGCGCACAATGGTGCTTCCATCTTTGGGCAATTCATCTGCATAGGTAGGGTTTCCAACAGACTCATTCGGATGGCGCCAAATCTCTTGACGAAGAGCACTGAGATCTATTGCTAAACGTTTGCAACTCACCTCGGTCATGTTTGGGTTACACAAATGATCTGAAAGTGAACGGCAATCTGTACACCAAATGCATTTCATATCATCCATAGCCTTCGTGTAGATCATGTTTTTCTTCACCTCGGTTGCCTTATTCTTTAAGTGGAACATGATCTGACGGACGTGTTCTGCATCTTCTGATCCTTGAAGCAAAGAAAGAGTCTCAGCTTGCAAAGTGGATCTACAAACGCGACGAATGGTGTTGCTATGCCAATCCAGGAGCATCACCTTTCCACATCCAGTCTGTTCAAACGAAGGGTCTGCCAGTGCCAAAATTCTGCCGGACTGGGATCGATGTCCAGCTACACAATTCTTGCCAATGTTCTCGAAACTAGCTGCATGAGAGGCATCTGTGACACTGAGTAAAATTGAATTTTCAAAATCAAACGCTTTGGCTGGGTAAAAGATTCCTTTGTTTTTATCCTGCATGGAAAAACTCAAAAGTTTGTTGGCTTCAATCAAATGGCGAACTTGAGCTTTTTGCTGCACGGCTTGTAATTGATTCACAGCAAAACAAATGTCTGGTCTACAAATTCTGCCTAACCAACTCAAACTGCCAATGACTGAACGCAACTGACTAATCTCTGACTGAGTTGCTGGTGCACTGAGCTGTTTTCGACGGAGAGGCTCCACGTAAATCGCCTTGGTGCGATCCAAGACATTGGGACAAGAAACGTGGATGCCCTCTTTGGTCTGCTTGATTGTGCGACCACAGTACTTCAGCTCATCATCTTCAACCAATCTGAACTTGAACTTCTCTTGTACAATCATCATTGTTTTCTGCATTTCATCTGAGCCAACCCAGAGCAAATCATCAACGTGGCAACCAAGCAATCCGGCTATCTTGCCATTCTCGCCTGGAAGGTAATATGCAGAGGTCTCTCCTGGAACTGGAAGAAGTCCAGCTTGGAGAAGTGTATCATGAAGTGCCTTCCAAAAGCCACGTGGTGCATCTCTGGTTCCATACACTGATTTTCGAGCCACAAGCAAACTGCCGGGGGCTATGGATGGATCAGGGATTCCATCCTTGGGAAGCCACAGAGCCAAGAGTCGCTGAATTGGCAATCCTTGCAAGAAAGCTGCGCTGATGTCTCCAGCTTTGAGGGGCAATCCCATGCAAGCAGCAAAGGCAATGATCAGGTTGAGGAAAAGTTGGCTTGCTGTCGGACTGTCAGTTCTCACATTGCCATTCTTCTCTAAATGGCCAAGAGCTACCAAACGGCTTTTCAGTTGCATTGCTTCGCCAACTTCGGCTTTGTCTGTGTCTACCCATCTAGATGGTAGAACTTCAATTTCTGGATGATCCGTTAAGTATTGCTGAACTTGTTCAGGAGGGATCACATCAGTGGCATCAAACTGACGCCAGTTGTTCCATTCTTTCAATCTGCTCTTGTCAAGACCCTTTCGGATCTCTGGAGTTTCTTTGGCATAGTTCAGCTCACGATGTGGACCCAGCTTCTTCTTCTTCTTTTGAAATCGCTTGGCAAGGAAGCAACCAAAATTCTGCTGCTTCACACGCTCAATGGCTGAATGACCTTCTGCTGGTTCATCAGGAACTGGGATATTTCGAGCTTCACGCAAGGGAGATCTTGATCTTGGCCTCGCGAGTCCAGGAGGCTGAGCAGATCTGGGAATTCCATCCAATTGGTCTGGAGAATTTCGAAGAGCTTGTTGTAGAGGAGTAATTGCCGGAGTGGACGGCATCTCTTCAAGTTCAGGCTCTTCAGATACTACCACCGTATCAACATCAGAAGCAAGATCTAGGACAGGAGTGGGCTCCTGGTCCGCAAGTGGAGTTGTTGGAGTAGGAATGACATCATCGACCTCAGCAGGAAATGGAAAAGGTAGCTCAGGTTCAGGAATTGCTTCGAATTCCATCGATTCAAGTTGAGCTGGCTGTTCTGGAAAAGGAGTTTCTGGAATTCCACCTCCAGCACCAGGCATTTCCACAAAGCGCATCTGAGAATCATCATCACCTTCGCCCCATTGTTGTAATTGATAATCATCAGAAAAAGGTGTTGGTTCTTCCAACTCAGGGCGTTCTTCCAAAACTTCACGGAGACGTTTCCTTGAAGGTCTCAGCTCAAGGATTCGTTTGGTGAAAATCTCAGAGCTTGATGCTGGTCGAAGATTCGATTCAGCTTCCACCAGAGGAACTCCGCCATGCATGAGCCAAATGACAGCTCTGCCATCTTTGCCAATGACTCTTGCTGGTCCGTGCCACTTTCCACGACGGTGAAAGCAGACTAGATCACCTTGAGAGTAAGGCCCACGAAGAGGTACACTCTTCCTGAGCAAGGCAGCTCTGACTCTTCTGCTTGCGTCAACTTTTGTAAAAGCTGACTTGGCGGCTTGACGTACTTGCAACCGAAAAGAAAACTCATCCTCTGGCTCAATGATATGTTCTTGAACTCCAAGATAACGGCCATCAGCCTCTTCTGAAGTCAAAGATGTTGGATCAACTGGAAGCTTGCCGAGGACCCATTGGTATGGAGTGAAGCCTTGGTGGTGAAGCTTCATATTTTTCACTACGCACATTTCTGAAACCAAGACTTTCATCTCCTTGATGCCAATGATCTGTCTCTCTTCAATGGCAGCATAGATCAAATCTTTGAAAAGGGAGCCTTGCCGTTCTCCTCGACCCAGTTGAAAAGGTGCTTCAACGCCAGTGTAGCGCAGGAAAATGCCGTTGATCCTTAGAAGATCTTTGAGTCGGCCTTGATTGTGCATTCCTCGATCACAAGTGATTGTGTTTGGAGGTCCAAATGGAGAAATCCATCCTTGTAGAAGAGCTTCAGCACAGACCGAACTTCTCGGCATACCTCCCGAAGCAACCCACCAGCATTGATGGAAAAGTGTTCCCAAACACACTGCTGATAAGATGGTGTGTCGATTGCCCGCTGAGTCACGAACTTCAAGAGCATCCAAGGCAATCTCATGGTTGAAGACAGGTTTGTTGGGCATCTTGGTAACATTGGGCCTTTGTACGGGTTGAGTCTTGCGGCAGGTCTCGCAAGCAAAGTGCTTGCATCCCTCAATGACGGCAGGACTTGCTTGAGCAGTTCTCAAAAGTTGGATCATTGAAGCAGTTGTTCCATGCCCAGTCATATTGTGGAGTCGTCGAAGGGCTAATCTTGTTGACCTTGGAAGCCTCAGCCATTTCTTCCGTCTTTCATACTCAACTCCCATCTCTGGACCAACTACCAAGGGCCTCTCTTCCAAGCCTTCTTGTCTTTGAAGTTCTTCAGGGTTAAGGCGATCTGGAAGAAGATCACGGGGAAGAGCTTGATCTTGTTCATCTTGAATAAAGTCCATAGCTCCAAGATCAAGACCTGACTCCAAAGTTGACTCAGCCAGGTTCTCCGTGAAAAAGGCCGCACTGGTAGATCGATCTTCCAATTCTTCAAGGAAGCCATAGAGCATTGCTTCACAAAGAGCAGGTGGCCAAACTTGAGAGTGCTTAGTACGCTGACCACCTTCTAAAGGTTGGTGAGGATGATCTCCTTGACAAAGTAGTGAGAGATTTCTCTTCACAGGAGCGCTGGCCGTCAAAAACCCAGTTGGTTTCTTGTGCAAAAGTCCATTTCTCCGGTCATGAAGTCCAAACCGGCACTGATCCCCTCGAACTAAGTCCAGGCGTTCTCGGGTCTCAGCATCGAAGAGCTCCAAGTCCAAGAGCCTTCGAAAGGGCTGTGTTTCCCACAGCTCACTAGGCCAAGGGTTTTCAACCAAAACTTTTCGGCCGCGACTCAAACGCTCCTTCACCACCTTGGCAATCCACTTCAAAGTTGGATACCACAAGCTTCGAGCTCCCTCGATCTTCTCTTTGGTCTCACTGCTTTTGCTCATGTTCAAGTGAGACCATGGACCCCAAGGTCCACATACAGGGCTGAAGGTCAGGACGTAAGGATCCTTCTCGGCAATCTCCTTCTCAATGGAAGTGCGAACTGCACTATTGAGCAAATCGCTGCCATCCATAGTCAAGTCCACTGGATTGGCAACTTCAAGTCCAAGGCTCATTGCCATTGAGGAAAGGATTGCAGCTCCAGCGAAGATCTCCATGAGGAAAACTTTGCAGCCCTTTGGCAGAACTCGAGTGGGAGATCGGCCTTTCAAAACTGACCAAAGGCTCATGTCGTTCGCCTTGACTTCTTCAACTTGCTCCTTCAACGCTTTCTTCTGGCCCCTTGTCATCACCTTGGTCACTTCTTGATCAAGCTGGAGAAAAGTCTCATTGGGGGTTTCATGCTCAAGACCAGGTGGTGGAGCCATTGACACTTCAGGCGTTGAAATTGGATTGGAAGAAGGCGTCTCATCAGGCTCTCCAGTAAATCCAAGGAGCGCAAGATGAGCAGGCAACAAATGCAAACCAACCAAGCCATTCATCTGGACGACTTCCAGATAACCACCAAGCTTCTTGCTGTAGACCTTGTCAGGTGCATCAGGCGAAAATTCCATTTGAAGTTCCAATTTTCGTTGGTCTTGGATTGAGAGAAGCAAGGGAGCATCGCTGTTCTTGAGCTCAACACTGTCAATGGTTCCCACAGCGATGCCAGCATCATCCTTCAAGGAAAAACCCACTTGCAACCTTCTCGAACCCAAAGGTTCAACTTGGCCATTGATGCCCTTGATGGAACTGCCTTCAGAGACAATAGGAAAGTCAGCTTCCTTTCCGTCAACAGCTTGGAGGTAGAGCTTCATCCAATTTGCACCATGGCAAGTGCGATTGCATCCACTGTCAAGGATTGCAATCATCCATTTCTCATTGCGGTTGACATCGTCATTGGGCTCGTCAACTTGCTGAGTCTCCTCACAAGCCATCATGGCTCTAGGGCTGATCTTCTTGTTCTGGAAGTAGCGAGCCAGATTCTTGAGGCCGCGGCAGGAGCCTTCATTGACTTCTCTCAAAGCCCAGTTGACATAGGAATCGTCCTGAAAGGCACGAAGGAAGGTCTTACCCTTGTACTTGCCAAAGTCCACGATCCTGTCATCTTCAATCGCCGCAGATGTCAAGGAAGATGGATCCTGGGAGTTTCTGGATTCACCTTGGGGAGTTGTCATGGCTGGAGAAGAGGCCATTGGACTGTGGAACTCAGGTGACCTTAGTGGAGCGGTCGGAGCTCCAGTCATGTTGTTGGCCACTGCCTCCATGATGTCATGTAGCTCATGGAGCTGCAATCTGCCACCCTTCTCATCCATCTTGATAGCTGCAACCATAGTCATGGAACGAACCAACTCATGAAGGTCACGGCGATCAAATGCCATCTCAACAGAACTGGAACCACAAACGCTTGACTTCCCTGATCCCTTGGAGCCTTTCTGATCATCTTGCCAGCGACCTGAAGTGACGTGGCCGCAGTCCGCACAAGTCATCCTCCAGTGATATCCATTGGAACCTCGCCAGTGCACTCGTTGATGTTGGCAGGGTGGTCCAGTAGGTGGAGGTGCTGCTACTGGGTTTGCTTTCGGAGGAGCATTGTGCGTTCTCCTTTCTCGCTTCAAAACCCTCTTGCAATCCACACATGTTTCGAACGTGTAGTAGAAATTGGAGCCTCTTCTGGTGATTCTAAGATGCTGGCAAGCAGGATCAGCACCAGGTGGTTCTTCAGGTTCTGGTGGAGGCGGATCAGATTCCGGTGGATCTTGGATGGCCATCTCGGAGTCCATTTCAACAAGGGTTCCCAAAGCCTGACTGACTAAGGGATTGGCCATCCAACTCTGAGGAGTGAAGCTGGCTGCCTGGGAAGGAGTCAATGTCGGCCCAGTCGAAGCATCAGGTAGTCCAAGGACATTCGGCTGCGTAGCCAAGAGATGCTCGAGCACATCATCAGCCTTCCATCCCATGTCATAGAACTCTTGAAGACCTGTCGGAGGTTGATTCATTGCTGGATTCCATGGCATACTTGGCAAGCTCGTTTCTGGCCGGGACGAAGAGCTCGGCATGGACGAAGAGCTCTGATTGGGTCCGGGCATTCTGGAAAATGATGACAAAGGCGGAACAGAGGTCATACTTGTGCTAGAGGTCATTCTTGGAGGAGTAGTTGGGTTGTGGCTTGACTCATCACCACGCTCAGACTCATGATGTACGGCCATGTTGCATTCAGGAGCTTCACCATCATGAGACCCATGCATGGCAAAGTAGACAACCCTAGTCTTCTCTCCGCTTTGACCTTTTCCAGCCTTCTTGCCAAAACTCTTGGAGGTAGAGGAGGAACCTGACGATTTGCCTTTTGAACTGCCTTTGGAAGATTTCGGGCACTGAGGGTCACCGCTCCAGTGACCACGTTGACCGCACTTCCTGCACTCCGTGCGATTCTTCAACTGCTGCAAACGGGCTTTCTTCTCCTGCATGGAAAGTTGGCCTGAAACCTCAAAATGGCGAGGAGCAGCAAAACCTTGAAGTCCCTTGCCCTTCGCCTGGTTCCTGACAAACATTGCTTCATACTCCAACTGCATTGCTTCTGCTGCCATGTTGCATGATTCTTCATCTTCCATGTTGAGGCCTTCATCTAAGTACATAGCCATGTGCTCTGCAAGGACCATGTCATACGATGTGGCTTCGTCATACTCAGCAACGTACCCTTCGAAATGGTCATTCTCAGGGTCATAGGACTCTTCAGTGAAGTTGGCAAAGGAGTGAGTTTCATCATCATCCCAATCGCCATCACCAAAGAAGGATCTGTTGCCTTTGAAAGACGACTGTTTCCATGGACGGTGATGTCCACGGCTGCCAAAGTTCTTACCCTTGCTATAGCCATGCTTCTCCTTCTCGTGAATCCTTGGGTGATGATTGAGCAACTCATCACACACCTTCTCCACAGTCATGTTGGACCCAACTGTGGTCCTCACCATCAACCGCTGATCTTCTGATATGTTGGCATTGACCAGGAGTTGTTCAGCAAGGATACCTTCTGATACTTGCATTGAGCCATCCAGCTGCTGCAAGTGATGCCACCATGCACGTCTCCTCATGATGTATGATGACATTGGTTCACCATGTTGGCGACTGAGCAGTCCTCCATCCTTACTGCCAGCAGCATAGAGCTCACGTGCTTCCTGTGTCTTTCGGGGCTTCAGGCTCTTCTCAAACAGGGTCAAGAGGATCTCATGTCCTTCCGTACCTGCCAAAGCCTGCTGATCAACTTGTTGTGCTAGTCGTAGAGCTTGTCCTCTGAGGCCTTCAATCAGGCGAAGACCAAGGGGACCAAGCTTCGCCACCTCAGACTTCTCCATCAAAGACTCACGCTTCGCACGTGCTCTCACTCTGAAGCAGTACTCTTGTAGGGCTGCGGGTTCGCCTCCGAAGCGGGGAACTCCAAACTTGCCTTCCGCATTGAAGTCCTCAGCTCCATTGGCAAACTGATCATCTGGCTTGTATCGCAAACCATCCAAGATGCCAGCCATCACTAGCACCCTGGCGCTCAGGGGAAAACCCAAAGGTAGCTGTTGCCACCGAATCGAAACTCAGCAGCTCCGCTGCCAGTTTGAAACTGGCACGGACAAAATGCAGTGCAACGGACGTGCACTTTTCACCGCTTTGGCTTGAGCCACCGTCAAGGGTGGAACGAAAGATTCAACCACAGCACTGCATGACAGGGAAAAGACATGCAGTCATGACATGAAGCCACTCAGATTTCACACATACATTTTGGCAACATCGACCCTGCTTCGGAAGCGAAACGCAGCAGCTGAAAGCTCTGTACATCGATGGGAGGCCCAGATGTTTGTTGTTCGCCAAGATCGCCAAGATGACGAACCAAACAATGGGCTCTGGTGAGGTTTCCTTTCTAGAATGGCAAGCAATTCAATCATTGATACTCTAGAGTTCTTAAGCCTAAGCACACTTTATCAAAAAGACCTGTGACAATTTCAATAGAACAAAATTGATAGCTGCACCAAGTTCTTGTGTACAATTCCTAAACAAAGATCATGTGTTTCTCAATCCACGAGCATGTGCTGTGGCTATGTACAGTTGCAGTGGCCTGTGCTGGTGATGCAGGCGAAACAGTTGCCGCAACGGTAGTAAGGTGTGGAAAGTGAGGTCGATTGGCCCAAAATCCAGTACAAAAAAGTAATGTTCAGACCAACTTTTTGCGCAGTGGTGCTAGTTCTGTAGCTCTTGACACCTCTGCTGTTTGTATCGTAAGACTCTGAGGTGGCTTGTAAATTTTCACGGCCATGGCCCTCGACAATCACATTTGACTGCCGCAAGAAAAGGCATGGGGACTGGTTGCTGTAGTCTGGATTGCTCCGACAAGGATTCCAAGATGGGCTGCACCTGGCCAACAAATCATATAGTGACTCAGTAGTGTCTGCCTGGCTCTTCCATCTCAAGAAGAAATGTTGAGTCGACTAACATCCCGGAAGGTGCATAATAACACCGTGCAGTGTGCAGGTCTGGCTCTTGAAACTCTGCCTCTGGGTCCCACTGACGTGTCTTTCCAAAAACCTCCATATATCTCCCATAGAAACAAACATCTAAAATCTTAATGATGTTTTACATGGCTTTACCAATTCACAACATCACAACATCGCAGCCCAACGCTGTCCGATCCAACTCACCCAAGCGCAGTTGGGCAAGCGCAAAGCAATCCCTGGTGCCAGTGGTGCCAGGAGTGCCAGGAGTGTTGGAGCAGCTGGTTGCCACGCCTGCCATCTCCTGGCAGTGGAATCCACCGCTCACCGTGGCTCACCGTGCGCCCTTGCGCGCGCCTTCCTTGGATCATGCTACGTAGGTTGCGAAAGTTTCAAGGGTCGGCGTTTCAACGTCGTTTCAGGTTGCAAAACATGCCAAGCTGCCAAAACATTCAGTCATCCAGGTGCTTTGGAACATTCTTATACTTTCAGTAGATCTAACAAATCAGGTGGACCAGGCTGGAAATCAAGATATATCAAGATCATTTTTCCGGAAAGCAACTTTTTGGTGGTCGGATGTTTTTTTTTTAAACATGTCGTCTCCCCGTTGTGTCAAAGCGTTTTATAAAGCTCCTGGCATTGCGTCGAATCCGAAGATCTGGAATCCTCCAGCCTGCCTGGCAAAATCAAAAATAAGAGGCTGACCTCTCTGTTGTGTGAATGGGAGATCCATGTTGACTTCAGAACTATCAACAATTATAATGCTATAATTACTATTACTCTGTACTCCAGGATTCTTACTGCAGTTCAAAAGCAACATGTTGTTACCTACCGGGTACCATAATGAAGAACAACGTCGTATATAATAATAGTAATCAATAGTCTCAAAAAAACAATCACCGACCACAAAGCTTTTCCTCCACAAACACCCACAGCACTGAGTCTCTACCATCCATCTGAGTGCCAAACGGACTTGCAGAATGCTCGGAACTCAGCATAAACTGACTGGAGCCTTAGCCAATAACATCATTAACTGCTTAAGCATCTGGCATCCCGTTATCCCATTTTTTTTTGGACAAACATCCCGTTCACATTGGATCAAAAGGTGACTTTTCGATGCTGCTAGGCCCCTGGGAGATCCGTTTCAGGCCCGGACAATTCCTCAATGAGGCGAACCGCTTCGGCGTGATCCACGTCTGTTGGCCTCAGATCTCAGAGGATCGCAGGCCATGACCGACCTGTCAATTGATCCTGCGGTCACAGTATTTCTTTTTTATCCACTTAGACAGTCTATGACAATTGTTATAACAATCTATAACAATCTATAATATTTACATAAATACATTTAATAATATATATATACACAATGTTATACCGTTTAGATTAGATGGATTCTGTTGCAGCACTGCATGGCGCCAGAAATGGCACAACTTCTGCGCCGAGGTTGCCGCGAGCTGACACACAGCATCAGGGGATCCGTGGATTCCTCGACATGGTGAATCAGCCCATTCCAAGACCCAAAAATCTACCATGAGTTGGACATCATCATTCCAGCATCCTTGATGGACCAACAAAAACATATATAGAAAAATGATATCAACAGATCCTGGATGTTTGTACATTAGCAAACAAGATTGGGCGCCGCAAGACCAATCATTTCTGTTCCACAACTGACTGGACTGAAGCAATCCGCCGCCCCGTTCACGGCACCTGCTGATAAGGGCCTTCCAGGAACCACGAACCTCTACCACGAAGCCGCAAACGACATCCTCGCAGTGCGCGTCATGCGGCGCATCCAAAAAACTGATAACCATTACAACACGGTGTACCAAGATTATCAAGATGGAAGGTGTAAGTAGCATGAATTGTTTCTAGTCGACTTTGCTGCCCCATCTATGTTCTGAGCAATACTCGGAGTTGGGCCTTAGTGTCAATCTTTCAACATCACATTGATAGACATCATTAGAATTCATTAGACTCATTAGACTCGTTCAAGACATCACAAGACCAAGCACCTTTTTTCATAGAACCTATGACAATCTGACAATCTGACACTGAATCTGTTACTCTTAACGGTGGATTCCCAAGAAATCGCCTGTTTTCGCTGCGATGGACTTCATGTTTGACCTGAGATCTGGCGCCAAACTGGTGGATGCCAGAGGTCTGTTGCACAGCTGCTCAGCCAATCTTAAAATCTTTAGAGGCACCCATTTGGGCCCAGCAAGCGCCGCCCAACTCGGAAAACAGGGTCCTTCGCCGAATGCATAGAGTCAACATGGCTGTTCAGAGCCATGAAAAAGTGTATGCATGAAGCATCACTGCACTGAGTCTAGGCAAATCCAGCCGGATCAGCAGAAAAAAAGGAGCCATCTGTCCAACATTTCCAACACTTCCACCCTTCTCCTCTTCAATGCCGATGATGAACTGGCACTGTTTCTTCTTGCCGTTCCTTCGCCACGAGCTGTGCACATCACCAAGTGTTTCTCAGTGCCATGCTGTCGCCCTAAAGGGGCCCTGGGGCCCGCACTTGGCATCCACGGAGCCGTCTTCCCATGCCTGGTTGCAAATGACAATGCCCTCGCCACTGGGGGTTCCGCAACATTGGTATGGATCAAAGGCTTTCGGGTTTTAGGGTTTGCCGGATTTCCTGGTGTTCAACTAATATTTCTGCTGTGAACATTGCCATGTTCGTCTCACTCAGCTGATAGGAAAATCATGGAAAATCAATGAACACGAGGAGTTTTTGTAGCTTTCGACCCATCAAATCCATCAAGGATCGAAGGATTCCGGCACCTCAAGGGCACCTGAAGCATCAAGCTTGGCCTAGCAGGATGATGGGGCAAGTCCAAGGCAGGCAAGTGGTATATGGTAAAAAAAGAAAGAACTCATGAGTTTTGGTTGCCAGGATGTTCAGGTAGTGTCTGCTTTGTTTTCCGACTTGTGTACTTCTAGAAACGTGATCGCCTTTGATATATGCTCAAGAATTCACTTTGAACTTGTTTAGTTGCACCACATGTTGTGAATCCAACCTCAGCACTCTTCTTGTTGCCAACCTGCGCAGGTTTATTTTGTTACCTACCCAACTAAAGCACATGCGGGCATGCCACACCCTCAAGTATAACTGTCTTCAAAACTGCTTGCATTAACAATTGGTGCCGCTGAGACTAAATCACTTTGAGGTTGTGGCAGGCTGCACGTCTGGAGCAACTTGACCAGCAGAGTTAGGAACCTTTGAACAAATGAACTGCAGCTTGGTTGCAGTGCTAAGCTGGCCAACTGATGATTGACATATAACACTGTATCATACTTTATCAATCATTCTCATCTAGCACTTCTTAGAACATGTGTGATGTAGTCAATGTAGTCATACGGTAAATTAAAGCATGCACACATACGGTGCTTTAAGTTCAACACATACCAAAGCAACTGCGAAAGCCTGGCCTTGACGCACCATCGTAACCCCCGTCCTGTAGCCGACTGGGAGGTGTGAGACATGTCTCAATGTGAACCACCACCAGCACCACCAGTACGGCCACCATCATGATCCCAGCATCACCATCAGATTTAATTGGAGAATGATCAACAATGAGAATATAGGAGAATGATGCGATAATATCACAAGTACAACAATAGTATAACATCATATTATATAGTCTAATATAGTCTAATATCAGTCTAATGCAACAGTAGTTTACAATTAGTTTTCACAAAGGTACTGTAACTAGTAACTGTCCTTTGGCTCTAGAAGCAGAGCTTAGCAAGGTCACGGGTGCGTCAAGCCTGGATGGGGCACATCGTTGGCTTTTCGAACTCGTGGGTAAACATGGTAAGCGGACAAGGCAGGTGATGGCAACATTCTTGACATTAAGCATCATTAAGCCATGTTGAATCATATTAAGCCACACACATTGATAAACAAAACTGATCTGAAAATAGATGAATTAGAAGAAATTCGTGTGCAAGGTATTTTTCTTGGCTCGGTTCAAGAACAAATCCGACATAATCCGACTCACAGTCTTGGCATAGGACTTCTTTGCCCTCCAGTCCTC